CTCTTCTACCTCTTCTTCATTATTCTTCTTATACATGGTATCTTCCTTAGGGTCATTATTATTCCGAACAATGATTCATGGCTTGTGCACACCGTAGCACTGGAAAGAGCAACCAGAGATAACCAGCTAAGAAATATACACACTATTACCATCAGGTACACCGGGCTAAAATCCACCAGCAACGGGGCATCTTGGTTATGAGCATACTTTTTCCAGTGCCCTTAACCTCGATTACATACCCACGGCTCATGCATAACCACATCATCTGTTAGCTAATTAGGAGTGAGTTAGTAGCATTTGGAGATGATGATGTTTAATCAGGAAACGCCTGGGGTGCCCCAAACTCTATCCGCTTCGCTGTTGCGACCGTCACCTCACGTCAAGCAGTTCACCGTCCTAGACTTCTCCAGGTAACGACTTTTCTTTGGAGTGATCAACGCAGTTGGTGGTACTCCTGGGGAAAACCAGCCCGGCTTCTTCAGTATGATTCGCTCTGCCTTCCCAACTGAACCACCGGACCAGAGCTTGCCCCCTCCAGACAGACAGACTTAGTCTGCCTTTAACGTAAGGAGATTGATTATCGGGCTCGGGGAGGGCTCCACCACGTTGTGGCCACGGGCGAAACTGCATCCTCGTTTTTTCTTTTCCTTCCCCCCCCACAATCTGAGCAAAATGTAGAAAAAGCCTAAACCCGCAGCTTCTTAATAATTAACTATAGATACGTACTAGAATACTACGGAGTACTCATCTGCTAGACTACTCTGCTACTTTGCTGACTTACTAGTCAAGCAAAGGCCAGCCCATCCTCCACCCTCCCGTCAGCCCGCCCATAATACGTATAGCCCTCCCCCGGTGTGTCTGCAGCCCTCCGCTGCCGTCAAACTTTCTATCTTTTTTTTTCTCCCCTTCCCTACTCTCTGCCTTCCTCTGATCTCTCTCCTCTTCTTCCCTTTCTTCCCTTCTATTAGTATAGCGCCTCTTTCTTCTTTCCGCCTGACAATTTACAACCACCTCTCCGCTCCGCTCCCTTCTCGCCATGGCTCCCACTACCCGGGATCTTGAGGCTCTCGCCGTCCACCACGACTCCGACATCATGGCTGATGATCTGGCCGAGAAGAAGGTCTCCGCTAATGAATCCCCCCCGGAAAACGACCCTTTTGGCAATGAGGAGTGTGGTGAGGTCAAGTACCGTGTCATGAAATGGTGGCACTGTGGTATATGTAAGGTTCCTCGGGGCTTCCCCCAACCCCAACCCCATCAAGGGTAAAGAATTACCATCTAAACCGAAATGTGATAGTGATGATTGCGGAGAATATCTCCCTGGGAATTCTGTCCTTGCCATCGGCCGTTGCGACTCTTGGAATCGTCCCGTAAGTGCTTCTTTCACTGTCGAGTTTCACTTTATTCCGTACCTCTTTCTAACATACCCCGGTTCAGCTCCATCTTCCTCATCCTGGGCTTGTCTGGCATTTCCTGGTACACTGGTTATGTCATCGGCCAGTTTAAGCTGCGCTATCCCCAAGTCCACAGCATGGGTGATGCGGGAGAAATCCTCTTTGGCCGCATCGGCCGCGAAATTCTCTTCTTTGGCCAATTGCTGTTCTGTATCTTTTTGATGTCCAGTCACATTCTCACCTTCACCGTACTGTTCAACACCATTACCGGTCATGGCACCTGCACCATCGTCTTCGGCGTCGTCGGTTTGGTTGTCAGCTTCATCGGTGCTCTGCCTCGCACCATGGGCAAGGTGTATTGGATGTCTCTCGCCTGTATGTCCACGATGTTCCTCATTGTTGTTTGGTTTTCAGACCAAGACTGACCACCGTCTTTCATTTTCGCAACAACAGCTTGTACCAGTATCACCGTTGCCACGATCGTCACCATGGTGGCCATCGCCGTGCAAGCGCCCGATCACGTTCAGGTCGATATCACCACCCATCCTAGCTTCTCGACTGCTTTCCTGTCAGTGACCAACATCGTCTTCGCCTTCAGTATGTCCCTCTTCGTCTTCCCTTCTTTCCTCAAAGCATCCTTCCTAACTCTTGTCCTGCAGTTGCTCACGTGGCCTTCTTCGGATTTGCCTCGGAAATGGAGGATCCTCGCGACTTCCCCAAGTCGCTGGCCATGCTGCAGGTCACGGATACAACCATGTACATCGTCACGGCCATGGTCATCTACCGTTACGCTGGTCCTGATGTTGCTTCCCCGGCGCTGTCCTCTGCCGGTCCGCTGATGAGCAAGGTTGCCTACGGCCTTGCCATTCCTACCGTGAGTGTCTCCCCCCATGTCTTTGTTCGGTAAATTTTTCCATCTCGTATACTAATATATTTTGGTTGGTCAGGTGATCATTGCCGGAGTTGTGTTCGGTCATGTCGCGTCCAAGTACATCTACGTTCGTGTCTGGCGCGGCTCCCCCCAGATGCACACGAACAGTCTTGCGGCTGTCGGATCGTGGGTCGCCATTGCACTGGGCGTGTGGGTAATTGCTTGGATCATTGCCGAGTCAATCCCGGTGTTCAACGATTTGTTGAGTTTGATCGTATGCTTCCCTAGCCCCTGAGACATGCGGTAGACGTGTTGTTACTAACGGGTGTTGTGATTGCAGAGTTCTCTCTTCGGTAGTTGGTTCAGTTGTAAGTCCACCCTCTTTACTCTATATTCTAAACCCCAGGCTTACCCTTCCATTTCAGACGGACTCCCTGCCATGTTCTGGTTGGTCATGAACCGTGGCCAGTACACTGCCTCGCCCAGAAAGATCTTCCTGACCATTGTCAACCTCGTCATCTTCGGCATTGCCTGCGCCATTGTATGTTGTCAACTTATCCATCCCCGTTCTGCAATTGCGCATTGACACTAACCTGACCAGTGCGGCTTGGGTCTCTACGTCTCTGGCAAGGCCATCCACGACAGCTCTTCCTCGGCCAGCTGGACGTGCGCCAACAATGCCTCCACCTAAGGGTGGATTGAGTCCTTCCGAGCGGATTCTTCACAGGGTCCACCTCGGCCTCTCTGCTAACCTCCCAGATCGAGCTGGGCTGTTCTGGGGTATTCAACGCATTGGTGTTCGTATAGGTGTTTGATGGGTCATTTTCGTTGAGTTCCGAGAAATGGTTTTTCATGTCATGTTTATGTTTTGCGTCTATGGTTTTGTTTTTCCCCCACTAGCCGGCATCCACTCGTACCTATTACCTGTTTGTTCATTGCATGTCATTATCATCCCCCCTGTGTACAGAATGTATATACTACCTCTACTGCTGCTATTACTACAACTACTACATGACGATGACTACTACTCTATCCTGGTTGGTCCACTCGCTTGCGGTTGTTTCTGCCGGGTGGACATGGATGCAGAGCTCCTCTTCGGTACATTGCATCGCATCATGAAGATTTTGGTCTTGCATTTGGGCTTGAAAAATAGCACGCGAGTCTTTTGACATATTTAGGAGAATAGACTTCATTACGAAAAAGGAAAAGAAATTTTGGACTACAAGACCAGATCGTGCACACTATGTAGTACCTGCTTGTGTCGTGGTTCATGTTTTCCACGACCTTGTTTTTGGCTTCATCCTAGCGGTATCTAGCATGGCACCAGTCCAGCCGCACCCGATGAACACCCGCTAACAACACCACGATGGCTGATCTCCCACCCTGATCCTCACAGCAGCAGGCGTCCCTCGGTGCTGCTCCGACTGGCTGGTCCCGAACGCCCTGTCGGCGCCGGTCACAACCCTAATTCGTCTGCCTGACGGGCAGTTCTGCTAGTGGAGGGTTTAGGGACACATTTTGGGCACTAGTAAGTCTGGGCAGGGGCAATGGTGATGGCGGATTGGAGGAGTGACTTGGTGCCGCAACCGAGTGGGGAGCTATCTCGTTAGCTTGTCTGTTATCCGGAACCTCGTGCATGTGAGAGCATTCAGAGTAAAAGCTGGCAGAGATACACCCTCACCTTGAAGATCGGTTCAAGTTCCAAACTGCAAGGCTTCATCGTACGATAATGAGAGACGACTCAACCTGCAACCCCAGCATAGGCGACAGATTCAACCCTCCGCAGAGTGCATGCACATATTCAGACTCATCCCCCGTCAACCCTCAGCTCCGTCTCTCTGATATCCGTGCATGCCAAGTGCATCTCTTCCGCAACATGCCGGGTGGGTCGCTATCTCACACAGGGAAGAACTGTTCAGGTCTTTAAAAAAGTTCATTGTCCGACCCAGGTACATCGCTCTGCAAGGCTCTCTTCCCCTTTTTCGCCTCTGGCCATGTCTCGTCGGTTTGCAGATTGACAAAGCGTGATTACTGGTCACTGCAAGAGGGACAACGTTACAGCTCGCATCTCCAGCGTTGCGTCGGAAGCGCCCGTCTTTTCCAACACCCCTAGCTTCCTGCACCACCAATGAGGCGTCGCTGCCTTTGGATTATCCAGGCAATTGTCCTGCTGGGCCTTCTCTCTGCATTTTACTATACACAAATACAGTCCCAGGCGCTTTCACAGCAAGATTCTGTCCCGACTGACCCTCTCGAGGTCGCCATTCCGCAGACAGTCCACCAACTCTTCATCTCAACACCGGGAACCCGCGGATCCAGCTTCTATCTGGATAGACACAGCACCTCGTGGCTCCAATCAGGATGGAAGGTCGAGTACTGGAGGGAGTCGTCGTGTCTCGAACTTGCACACGAGCTCGATGATACTGGGTCATACGCCGCCACATTTCAGGCCCTACCCGTCCCGATTCTGAAATCTGACTTTTGTCGCTACCTGATTTTATTCGGGCGGGGTGGGATCTACAATGACCTCGATGTCCACCTCCTCCAGCCGTTGCCGTGGCCAGTAATGGGCCCAGTCAAGGATGGGGATGAAGAACCCCCGGCTGTTATTGTCGGTCTGGAAGGCGATGCCGCCACAACTGGCCTGCCCCGATCTCCGCAATTTGTTCAGTGGACCATGGCATCTGTTCCCGGTCATCCCATCTTTCGTGACGTGTTACAGTCCATTGTAGACCGCACAGTTCACTATGTCTCGACTCAGACTGCAGAAGCTGAGGCGGACATCGACGTGATGAGCTGGACTGGTCCCAGTGTGTGGACAGATGCGGTACTGGGCTATCTACACTCCGATGATGAGCAGATTCAACAACTCCGCGATCTTCACGAGATCGTGCGCATGCGTGACGTGGTCATCCTTCCGCGCCGATCTTTTGCGGTGCTCCAGGGTGAAGACCAGTCTGCACCAGACGTTCTGGTCAAGCATTATTTCTCGGGAAGTTGGAAGGCGTGTGCTCGAGAATGGCTCCGCTGGCTGTGGCCGGGAGGTTGTTGACTGCTGCAGGTCGAAAGAACCGCTGGAAGTATTAATTTGATTGGTTTGGGAGTACTTCAATTACATTCGTATTTTATACAATCGTCTCGCTCGTCATAACAGATGGTGGCCGAACATATTCGGAGTGGGAAGCCGTAGTGGGTTCGCTTTCTCCAGATATTCGGGACAAGAGAAGATGGCCTTTATATTCCTTCCCCGTAACGAAATCAACCAATCAGAACATCTGATCGGACACATCCAGCCCTCGATCAAGTTCGTCCGCCTCTTTGCGCAAGACCTCCGCCCGGAACTTTCGAAATGCCGTCTCGATTCTCTGTCTTCGATCGGGATCCGCCGTGATGCAGCGACTTCCACTTCCTGCTCCTCCCAAGAAGCCTACAAGAGAGTGATACTTAGCAGATGCCTACTAAAACACGGTCTTTCAAAAGCGTGCAGGCGCATAAACCTACCGAGTTCGCCGCCTAGGAAGAACCCTCCCGCGCTCGCAAAGAAATAAGTGGCGAAATCACCCAGGGTGGTGGGTTTCAGCAGTGGAGTGATATCTGGAATAGGCTCTGTTTTGCCACGGGGTTAGCGTACAGCATTTGAGCAGGAGGAGCACTAGACTCAATGAATACCAGAGCGACCGCCGGCAAAGACAACGTGGGTGGGCTTTTCGCGGGCGCGGAAGACCTCGAAGAAGGCCTTGCGTGAACTTCTTAGGCGGAAGGCAGCATAGAGTCCCAGACCGAGTCCAACGGCTGAGCCAATTGTCGTCCACCAGGCGACCTTTTGTGTGGCTGTGGTGAGAGCGTCGCGGTCTTCAGCGCGTAGGTCATGCTGCAGATGCTCCTCCGCCAGACGGGCGAGCTCGTTGCTGCGGCGATTGCGGAGAGCGGGATAAAAGTCGGGCATGGTGACAGTGAGATAGGTAATTATAAAGAGAGTATTACAACTAGCAATGGAGCATAAAGAGAATATTGACAAAGGATGAGGGTAGTATTCGCTGAGTTTATATAAGGATGGATGAGGGCGTAGACAAAAGCAGGGCGCGGGGCAGGACACATGATGACGTCATGAACCGGGGTTTTGTTCATGATCAGGTACTACTACGACGTGTGGCATATTGTTTGTCTGGGCTCAGTAGTAGATTGAGATGAAGTACTACTCTACTCAGATGACTGTGTGCCTTAGTGGACTTAGTAACTGCTGGGGTGGGGGATTGAATTCAGTTGAACAGTGTAAGTGGAAGCATGGGAACTAACATTTGTATAGTATATATCTTTATCCTATCATCCAACGATCGACTGCGGAGGGGACTTCAAGAGAGTGTCACAATCTTCGTATTTTGGGGTTTATTTTTGGGTTCCCCTTAGTGAGTTTCTAGTCGACAGGTAACGCTCTATCGCATTGAAGCAATACTACGGGCGTACTCATGATCCATCAGAAATAATGACTACTAGTAACTACATAAGTAACTAGATAGTATAGCCGTTCAGGCAATCAGGCCATAAGGCACCAAGACACCAAGGCACCAGAGCGGTGGGGACCTGCTGCCGGTCCCGTGACCCCGCGTCCAAGTAATTAATTAAAGTAGATTAATTACAGTTGATCAATCAATCATACTTCGACGCGACACGTTTCTTGATCTTCACTTTTCACCGTCTTTCTGGCTGGCAGTCCAGGTAGTTAGTGGGACTAAGCTTGCTTTTCTTCTCTGACCTGGTGCCAATGCTTCCATCCTGATTGACCTTCCTCTCCCATCTCCATTGTTCCATCTTTCATCTGCTCGTCCTGTTTCCAGCTCCTTGAACACCATGCTTCACATTCAAGACCTCCCTCAGGAGCTGCTTCTGCATATTTTCTCCTCTGTTGCCCATAGCGATCCTTCCAACCCACTGGATCAGAACACCAAGTCTTCCGATGAAAACGCCAAGACCCAACCCCAACAACCTCCTGCTGATAGACTGTTCCCACGCCCTCCTTGGGTCGCTGGGGATAAAGATGATGAGACCGACGAGGAGAATCCCGAGGATGATTGGGAGGGAGGGAGCACACAGATCCAGGACGTGATCGACGTGTACAATCTGTGTCGGGTGTGCCGCTTATTCCGCGAACTCGCCCAGCCCCTGCTATTCGAGCATGTTGATTTGTCTGGCTTCCCTGGTGACCTGCGGAACCTCGTTCTTCTTACCAGCACCGTCCTTCGCCGTCCCAGCCTAGGCGAACATATCCGCAGCCTCTCCGTCCTTCCAGACCACGATCATCACGTCTTTGATAAAAGCCCAAAGCCCCTGACCGCCGACGACCGAAAGCTCTTTACCTCCTCCATACGTGATATTGGCTTAGCCACGGAGGACGAGCGCGACTGGATGAGTGCTTTGAAGAAGGAGGAATTCGACTACAGTCTTATGGTCATCTTGCTCATCTTGAAAGCTCCAAATCTCCGCTTGTTGACATTGGCGGGAGGTTACTTTGCCATGAAGCCACTCGAACAACTCTGGAAGCGCCATCCCGCCGTATTGTCAAAACTCGAGGACCTGTGGTTGGAGGGTGACGATCTCCTCAAGGGCTATCCGCTTACTATTTACGAGGAGATGATCAGTCGGCCTCAGTTACGCTCGTTAAATATTGAAGAAGCCCACCTCAGTGACGACCTATTTCCCGCCTGTTGGACTCCACAATCGTTAACCACGAGCCGGATCAGCCTACGCCTCTGCCACATCGATGCCCCCTCTGTCACCAAGTTACTTCGCGCATGCCGTACAGTGACCCACTTCATCTACGACAACTTTACCATCGACCCTGAGGACCAGCCTCATAACCTCCGCCCCGTTCGCGAAGCTACCGCTCCCGAGTTATGCGCCGCGCTCCTCCCCCACAAGGACACCCTAGAATGCCTGACAGTGACCTTCAACCGCGAACCCCGCGAACGAGAGAACATCGATGATTACGTGGCCCGCCAGGCGAAGATCGGCCCGCTGCGCGACTTCTCCGTGCTCCGGCGACTCACCGTTCAGCAAGCGTTCCTGCCGCTGCAGCCCCAGTTCCCTTCCACCCTCGAACAGCTCACTGTCGACGACTGCAACGTCTCCGTCCGTGGGTTGGCCGAGCATCTGGCTAAGGAGCATCGACAGGGGTGCCTTCCCGCACTCAAGCGCGTCGAAATGCTCGCCGTGGACATCACCGACCCCATCAAACTTCCGGGTCAGCAGATCCCATTTGGCCAGACGCCGGAGCAGTCTTACACTAGCATTAAGGATCTGTTCAAGGATACGTCCGTCGATTTCACCATCCTTCCTTATCCGGATTGTCCGCAGAACCTCGCTGGCGACTCCGACCTCGACGACTACTCTGATGATGACCCTTACGATATGACTGATGAGTATGGCTTACTGGGTCTCCGCGAAGGGGGTAACAGCCTGTTCCAGGCGATGCTCATGCAAGCGATGCGGGCACAGGGGGACCATTACATGGATGATGAGTTCGACGAGTGAAACAGATGACCGAGCGAGTTGATGACGAAGATTATGAATAATTTGGGAAATGTATCACGATCATAATATCTATATTTGACTAGACTGGATCTAGACTGGTTGGATTTTTCATACTTTCGGGTTGTTGATGGACACCGCTCCGGGCCATGGGAAGTCCCGCACTTTTTTTTTTTTTTTTTTCTTTTTTTCGGGAATAAATCTTGATTCTCTGGCAATGAACCTTTCTTTAGTGGAGGAGCGAACTTTTCCGGGGCGATAATATCATGGAAACCGGACAGAGCCAGCCAGTCTTGTTCTTTCAGGAGCAACCATACATGGCCACACAATTCACTGGCCGCAAAACCCACCTCAGCCTCCATTCACACATCGACCGCATCACTGTCATCATCATGACAATCTGTCGACACGAAGATAACATCAATAGTATCTTCGTTGTCCTGATTCCCAATATAATCCCCCGTGACCTCGAGGCCGCGGGAACTCGATAACGGAGACGGAGGCTCAACCTGAGCAATCCCCAGCGTCACAGCTATCCCCCCATGAATTCGCTTATGCGCGCGATACCAGTACCCGTCGAAGCCGGGGTAGGTGTAGCCGCCTAGATTGGTGGCTAGCCAAATGCCCCCATTCGTCTGTGTGCTGCGCTGCGGATCCCAGAGGAAGAACTTGCCGCCATCGCGGACTGCGTAATTCCATTCTGCGTCTGCGTGGATTGGGAATGACCGTGTTTCCGACACTTGGAAGGTTCGTCGCCCGCTTCCGAACTTGTAGTAACTCTATACGCCGCCGTCTGAGCCGAGTGACTTGCCGCTATTATTGTCTTTGATGTAGTAGCATTCGCCGTAGTGTATACCTAGGCTGCTGCTGGTTGGCCCTTCCTCATTGTCCGCGAGGGTGTATCCAACGTCGATCGTGTCAGAGGCGTAAGGTCAAACACGGCAGGGTAAGAGTGACCGGCGGTCGCAATAAACTCGGCTGGAGGGCTGGATGACCACAGACCTGCTTGAAGAGTGCCGTGGTCGTAAGGACGGTCAAGGCTCAGGCCAAGCAACTAGACATGCTGGGTAGGTGTGGATGCAGGCTGCAGTGTAGCTGCTTTAAGTACAGAGGTGTCTGGAGGGCACAGACACCCAGAGGTATGGTGGACCCCGTGATAAGCACATGCTTATATACCCAGTTAAGTCTTTCGCACCCTGCTGCGAACATGGACAGTGAGCCGTAAACGTCACACTATACTCTGGAAGACCGCGGAGGATGCGAAGGTTATCTTCTATTGAATGGACCTACTTACAACCCTTTGGGGAGAGGTTCGTCATAGTGCAGCGAGACTATCGTGGGCGAAGTATAAAGGCAAAGCTTACGTTAGGGAGCTACATGTACTGGCCAATGCCGGTGCAGGGCCGAGAATGGCTGAGTTGGAGAGGCAGGTCGGGGCTGTTCTGCTGACAATGGGACTACGATGGGTGGACCGAAAGGTTTAAACCTAGTACCCTGGACTTCAGTCCTGAGTCTGACATGCCCGCCATCCGATACCGACGAGAAGGCTTCCAAGAAAAGCTCTGCGGCCATTGTGTGCAGGCTAGCTTCAGGCCGACTCCACGATATAACGCTGACGATCTGCTCTCAACCTCGTCTCTGCGGCCTTGTGAGACCTTTTGTCGGTGTGATTACCATCATATCTAGAATGGCTATACCGGACCGTTAGCCGGCGGTCAATTTAACCGTACAGTTAACAGTCATATATATTTTCATTAACCTGATGGTTCCAGACATAATAATTCAGCTATTCTATCACAGATTTTCTGTAGAATCCCCGGACCTTTTATTATTTCTTACAGTTACTTATCATTACAACCAGTAAGTTTAGATGTATTCGCTTATATGGTTACTACGAATCTCTTCCTCTATACATTCCTGGCAGCGTCGAAAGACGGTTAAATAAAAAGTGGTCGATCATAATAAACAATGTCAGTAATAGTAGAACCTCGTATATTATCAATCACCCGAAATTCCTAATTCTTTCCTCCATAGAATGGTAATTCCTTTATGGGTTGAACTGGACTCAAACCTTCCATAGAGATCTAGCGCAGCTACTACAATGAAACTCCAAACCAGTTGAATGTCTCAAACAGACTTTTTATATATCTCGCAGTATTTTGGGCTGTGAGGTATAGATCAAATTTCGATACAAGGGTGCTCTTGTTCGCACACGAGGCCGGGGTCTCTTGATCGCGTCCTTGTTGAGGCCCTTTATGGCGAGCAGTATCGCGATTACCCCCTGTTGTTCTTCTGCCGTAGCCCATGATAACGGTATGATTCCTTCAAAATCCTTAGAGTCTAAATTGGCCCCTTACACCGCGAGTAGCAATTTGACCACGTTTGTCAATCCCCTCCCTGCCGTCAGCGACAATGGCGGTCGTCCGTCATCATCCCTTGATTCTGGGTCAGACCCGTTCATGAGCAGTAGCTTAACTACTGCCTCGTCGCCTTTGCCTGCGGCCCAGCATAGTGAAGTTTCCCCTCATGAGTTCTTAATGTCCGGATCAATACTCTCATGTTCCAGTAGTAAGCCTAGCCCAAGGAGGGCGGATGACGAGGAGAGTTCAAGAAGCGTATTTCAGTGCGTTTGGATACAAAAAAGGCTTCAGTTTAGAAGCAAGACCCTGGCTTCCGCAAGCGTGATATACTCACTTGCTTCTTCCAACCACATAAGTGCCAGCAGCTTCTGCAATTCGAGAAGCTGTGAGTTCTTTCCTGAATAACATATCATGGATGAGATCGACAAATGGTGCATTAGCACTGTAGGTACCAGGAACGGAGGTCGCTTCCCGAATCCAGGCATGATATGGGAAGATTAAGGCATGGGATGCGGTGCTCATTATATTAATAGCATCTTTGCATAGTCCATATTTATCAACTACACCAAGAAATTCTCAACGCGCAAATTGTTGTATTTTCTATCTAGATGCGAACCGCGGCAACACGGTGACTCCTGGCTCTGCCCAATCACTGACTACTAATTTACACATCCGCTCTTAGCATCGAAATCAATGTAGGTCCCTTTTCGTTCGAGATTATCCTCCTAATCAGCAGTCTGATTAACAACTTCAATAACAACTTTGCCAACCTGCTGTCCGCTCTCCAGTCTTTGATAAGCCTCCTTGTATTCCGCAAAAGGGTACACCTGATCAATAACCGGCCTCATCTCATGTCTTGCCATTGCCGCAAGCATTGCCTCAAAATCTAGTCGTGACCCGATAATTGATCCAGTCAACGTCAGGGTCCGAGCCATGATATCAATAGGCGGGATACCACCACCAAGACCACTTGCAAAGCCGATTAGAATAATTACACCACCTATCTTGGTGCATGCCGCGGCTTTCTGAATAGTCTTCTCTCCAGCAATATCAAGGGTCCTGTCCACCCCCTTGCCATCAGTTAGAGTCAAGATCTCGCGATCCCAGTCTGGAGAAGTGTTGTAGTTTACTACAGCATCTGCACCGAGTGCCTTCAGCCTAGCAGCTTTGGTATCAGACGAGGTAATAGCCAGCACACGAGCGCCATAGATTTTCGCAATCTGCAACGCGAACAGTGAGACACCTCCAGTTCCCTGAATCAGTACCGTCTGGCCAGGCTGAAGAGGCTCAATTTTATTCAGTGCTGTCCACGCTGTTACTGCTGCACAGGGAAGCGAAGCAGCTTCAGCATAGGACATATAATCGGGAATGTGTACAAGTGCATCTTCATGAAAGAGCACGTACTCTGCGAGCATTCCATCGATGCTAAACCCAGCGCTCGTGCGGAAATATTCTGGAATAAATGGGCCGCCAATCCAGGTTGTAAAACAACCGACTGCAACCCGATCATTGGGTTTGACCCGTCTTACTCCTGGCCCGACCGCGATGACCTCGCCGGCGCCGTCGGAAACAGGAATCACCTCCGCTTTGGAATTGACAGGGTAGTCGCCTCGCAGTAGCACTGCATCTCGGTAGTTGAGTGAGACGGCGTGAACCCGGATCAAAACTTCGTGTTGACCTGGGCTGGGCAAAGGTTCCTCACGAAGCTCGGTCATAAGCTTATTACCTCCTGCGGTAACAGCGCGGACTGCTTTCATTTGCTGCATGGGTGGCGGATAATAACAAGAACTCCTTTAGGTTTGATTCGATCGGTAGATTGAATGTGAGTGAAAAGACTGTCCGATTCGTAAGTACCGGAATCCTGCATGGGAAAAAGAAATGATATATAAACCTTTTCTTGTAAAGCTCCAGATTGTGTTCTTCAGACAGCAGAGGACATCCAGTGCAGATGATATTGATACTTGTCGTAGCGTATTTATAATGATATGTTGACAAATCTATACCGGCGAGCAGGCTTTTGGCTTGGTGGGCTCTCCGGGGGACGCACATATCAGTTAATAATTGCATTAGAGTGTTAATAATATGGTAAAGAAAAATATACAAGCAAGGCGGGCCTTCCGGTCGGTGACGGGTACTAGGCACTCCAAGGTGGGCACTCCGAGGTGGGCACTCCGAGGTCGACATCATTTTGATACGGGAAGTCAACAGGCAGGCTTTTGATGGAAGGAATTCATCGAACTGCGTGGCATATTCGTGTCATAACATTACATACGCCATATTTCCACACAAGAATTCCGCATCCCGCAACCCTACTAACAACCGATCAGCTCGGTTATGGACACATATCCAACAACCACGGCTCCGCCAAAAGGAGCATCTTCGCCGCCATGAAGCGCAACATCAACAGAAGCGCCTCCGTTGCCACAGCCTGCGATCGAGAGTTTGGGCAAAGGTACGTTGTGGTTCTTCAATTAGATCGGTGGGATGAGTGACCCTGATAATCCACCTTAGTGATGTACTTCGACAACACATGTGACGAGTGGATGGAGAAAAGGAACATACCACAAGGAATACTCATGCCGATATCAGCCCTGTTACAGAATCTATTTTGTTACAGAATCTATTTAATATAAATATAAAATATTATATAATTTATAACCTACTTATAAACCCTGTCGGACGTTGAGATTGAAGGATAACACTTGCGAGATTGTAGCATCCCATTCCCAGGCCGCCCGGAGAGAGGTTTGTGCATGGGTGGTGGATAGCCCATGAATCTGCTCGGTCTTGAGCAAAATGTCAAACAGGGCCTCTTGCTCCCGTCTATCAGTCGTGCGATCACCACCTGAAACAACAGGATCAGCTAGGATGTTTTTGCCATGGGGGAGAAAGATAGCATACACATGGATACTCCCATGCAGGCAGCAACGAGGGCCGGAGCGGTTTTGTTAGAGATGGCTATCCCACAAAGACTGAAGACATGGTGCTTGACCTCGGCCTATCGTAGTTAGCGATCAGACTCAACTGCACGCGAAGTTGTACATCTGATACCTCTCTTCGTGCAACGGCTGCCTTGCGACCAGGCCCAAGGCGAGGCACCGTGGGATCAAACACCGTCAGAAGAAGACGTGCGAGGTGCCAATGCTGAATACCAGTGACTGTGATCTTGGTCAGCATTGATTGATCTTCTATTCTAAGGAGTCTAGTCTTACCGATGCAGTCATCCAAATACCACAAAACTGGAAAAATCTCCCCCTTGACGGTATTTGGAGGTCGACAATACAAGGGGTCAAAGGTAGGCGGAGTTAGAGCTTGCCATTGCTGGTTGTAGGCACACAACTCCTCGTATTGCCCCCGGGTCTGACCTTCCTCACCATAGCAATACCGGAGCACATCGACACAGTGCAACACCACTCGATTCGCCCAGGTGGGATCGTCCGCGGAATCCAACTGCCGATAGACAGACGCTTCACAGCAACTGAGATCGAGCTCGGCGACTCGTTGTTCGAGGAAGGCCTTGTGAAACTCCTGTCGGATGCCAACCCAGAAGGCCGCTAGTTGCAGTCCGCCACAGCACAATGCAGCGTGGCCCTGAGCGTTGAGGAAGACTTGGGTGCCACGCAGATGAGTTTTCCCGTCACTGCCAACCAGGGCCGCTGTGGCTCATGCCTGTCAGCAATTCAAACATTGAATGCAGGTATACGAACCGACTAACCGTCGAATTCCTCGTAGAAACGCAGGATGACGGACGCCGCCAGGAGGTCCACATTGTGAATCTCAGCGTCATCTGCTGACACCAAATGGGAAATGCAGAGAGACTGGTAATCGAGGGCCATGCCATCCCCAAGATTGGGTAGACGTCTCCCCGCAAAGGTGACCGGGCGGGTCCCCGTGGATTGCCAGCGGCCGAGGTGTCGTGCAGCTGCCGAGTAAACAGCGTAGAGCAAGGCCGGACACTGGGCTGCGCGATCCGGCATTACAAGGGCGAAATGCTTACCGGCATCACAGGAATCGAACTGCATCCAACATTCTCAGGGGTCGTGTTGCTGATGAGGGTTGAGGGAATAGACCTTACCCATGGGGCCAGCTCCTCAACGAAGTAGCGCATCAGGCATGCCTCCTGCACGGCCCGATCGGTCCATATCGACGGTTCGGCTGGATGTGGAGAATTTTCTATCAGCCTGCCATTATCCCGGGTAGAATCTGGCAACCTCAGCACCGACATGGTTGATATGGGGGATGTTGATCCTTGTCTGATCGCAAAGGGTAACTGGCGGGGTTATGCGGGGTGAGGTCACGGGACGACGATCCCCCCACCAGGATGACATTAAAAGCAAGAATTTCTTGTTTGAACCACTCTCTATATTGTCTATCGTCTATCGTTAACATATGTATGGTCTATAAGCTCCCGCTATCCCATTTACAACCGGGAAGAGCTCTTCAACTTAGCCTCCAACCTCTGGCCAATCTGCGGCTCCACCCGGCTGAACATGGCAATGGTGGCCTTCTGGATCTCCGGCACCACTCCCTCCAAAGCTTCCGCCACGTTGTTCACCCAGAGGCTGCGCTCCGCCTCATCGAACACATTGTTCCACAAGGCACGGGGCTGCACAAAGTCCTCGTCGTCCACGGGGATCTCGTTGAGACCCAGCACCGCGCCGGAGCGCAGCCACTCGTGGTGGCGCACCTCCTGCACCGACTGGCTGAACACGCCAGGGGTCAAGGTGCTCTTGATGTAGTTCGGATCGCCACCGTAGTTGCGGCCCATGGTGGCCAGACCGTCACGCTCGTAGGGCGCATACACGGGGCAGATGGCCCGGTTGGGCGGCAGCTGCGTGTAGTTGACTCCCAGGCGGTAGCGCTGGGCATCGGGGTAAGCGAACATACGCGCTTGGAGCACTACAGAGGATTAGTTTCACTCTTATCTACACACAAACTAAAGGTGAGGGGGAAGCTTACTAGGATCAGGGGTCACGGCGATACCCGGCACCAGGTTGGAGGGCGAGAAGGCAGCCTGCTCGATCTCGGCGAAGAAGTTCTCGGGCTGATCATCGATCGTTAGCACGTCGGCACTAACATGAAATTGTTGGCTGCTAGGGGAAAAACTACTCACGTTGCGGTTGAGGGTCATTTCGCCGACCTCGATGAGAGGGAAGTCCTTGTGCGACCAGACCTTGGTGATATCAAAGACGGCGCGGCCGTAAGTCTCGGCCTGCTCGGGCTCCATCACCTGGATGTAGAACTTCCACTTGGGGTAGTCACCACGCAGGATGGCCTGGAAGAGGTCCTCGTTGTGGAAGTCGGGGTTGACACCAGCCATGCGAGTGGCCTCCTCAGGGGTGAAGTTGTGGGAGCCCAGGACAGGTCTGAAGTGGAACTTGCAGTAGCGGAACTTGCCGTCGTGGCCCACCAGCTTGAAGGTGTGAATACCGAAGCCGGTCATGCGGCGTGCGGACTGGGGCAGACCACGCGAGCCGAAGACGTGCATCAGGGTGTGGACACTCTCGGGCTGGTTGCTGTGGAAATCCCAGTACTAGATACCCAGTTAATTCGACAGGGGTCTACAGTCATCATGATGATGAAAAGATGAACTTACCATGTTCATGTCGGGAAGACCGGTGGTAGGGTGCCTCTTGTGACTGCGGTTCAGGGAGGGGAAGCGAACGGGGTCACGAACGAAGAAGACGGGCTATCACACAGGTGAGGCGATGTCTCAAAGAGGTACACGGGAAACGAGTCAACTTACCACATGGTTGCCGACAATGTCGTGGTTACCCTCCTCGGTGAAGAACTTGACGGAGAAGCCGTGCACATCACGCACGGTATCTGCGCTACCCTTCTCACCACCGGTGGTACTGGCGCGGAAAAGCACCTTGGTGGTCTTACCAACTCCGTTGAGGAACTTGGCGCGGGTGAGGTGGGAGATGTCCTTGGTGACGCGGAACTCACCCCAAGCACCATTACCCTTGGCGTGAACAACTCTGTTGAATGAATTGATAAGGTTAGTGGACGAAAGTGCCGATGAGCGGTGGGTCAGCCGGAAGGGCGGCCGTACCTCTCCGGAATCCGCTCCCGGTTGAAATGGGTCAACGTCTCGATCAGCAAGGTGTCACCCAAGGTGGTGATGGCACCGCCGCCAAAGGTCGGCAGGGTGGTGCTGACAGAGGGGTTGGGCAGAGGTTGACCTGCAGGAACACTGTGAGATGGGAAGTTGGACTGGTGAGAGAGAGGATACGTGTCACCTACCCTCGGCAAGGGTGTAAACGGGCTTGGACATGATGAAGGACGTGAGATTAAAGTTTCCGGGAATAAGGGAGGATGCGCTAGTAAAGCTATCCGCGAGGAGGATCCAAAGGGGGTCAAAGAAGATGTCCACAGAGCCGGCTCTGAGGGATGGGGTTTGCGGTGCACACGAGAAGAAGAAGAAAAGAGTCGATGGAGACAGAAATAAGAAAACACATCCTGACGCTGGAAACCCCCCAAGATAAAATTTTTCCCTCCCGGCCGCCCTTTAGCGCCAAAAGTGGATGAGGCCGTATCTAGGACCCGACGGTTGGTGACAGCTCGACACCCGCTGGGCCAGATCTAACTGCTAACAGTATGAATTAGATAACTCGGACCAAGTTTAACCAGTTTAGGGCTTGTCCCCTCATGAGGGGTGAGGGGATCGTCGGCCCGTGAGGGGTTTCTTTTGCGTAAGTCCTCTTTCCCGTCCTTCCTATTGGTCGATGCTCCAGAGCCTCTCCCGCAGTCACATGACACTTATCATGCACGCCTGGCGACTATCCGAGGAACTGCCGAGAAATAATCAGCTAAAGATAGGGAAACTGGAAGATAAGAAAGTCGAGACACAGTGACAAGCCAACCAGCTTAATATGATTCCAAACATTGGAATCATATTCCTTATATGATAGGCAAAGACCACCAGTAATATTTACCTAACTTAACGGCCTGTGTGCGGAGAGCTCCTTAAAGTTTAAGCAGCAGAGTTCAAGATATATTACTACTATCTTATGAGTTGAACAATAGGCATATAGTAGTAGTAGTAGCCGTAGTACTATTCTAGTTAGTATGCATTTACCGGCCACATTCCTTTCATATATTGCGGAGACAGCTCTTTCTTCATTATTATTTGTTGGCCTCTCGATCAATTTAACATCTAGGGCAAATGGCATGACTCAGATTGATGCGCTGTAATATCGGGTATGGGGCAATGTCAGCATAGCGCAGAGAGTTACCCGAAATTACCTTCTCTTTACCAGCCTTAACACGTTAGACAATATCAAAAAGTCATGGAAGGGTCAGCGGTGTGTAGGGCCCTGGTTAAGCCCGAGGCCTTTCCGGAGGCCGAGTCCGCCTTTTCTGACAAGCTTAGTAGCCTGCTGCCGGCTTCAGCATCCCGGTAAGATCAATGGAGAATTAGGCTATGGCCAGTATGATGATGGATGGTAGAAAACGATGCGAAAGTCTCGTGTTTGATGAGAAAAGTGTAACCCCAGGATTAACGGAAGGTTGTACGCGACCTGTACCTGACACGTTTGGGGAATGCGAAACATGTTTCTGTAGCCCATAAAGTCATGTCACTTGGACCAACAAGAGGCATGTCAAGGATAGAGCATGCTGCCAAGCAGAGTCGTCTCCTCTACTTCATTTTCCCAAGGCGTGTACATTGGTGCGCCCAAGGAGGCACTTTGAAGATGTTGACAGGCCAACTTGGTGCTGGAATAGACAGAGCTTTGAGTTGAAGAGTAGCTTAATCGCCATCATCCGACTTTGCAAAAGCATGAAGTCAACGATATGGGTATGCTTGCATGTAACACCCTTGGCATATGGGAACCCGAAACCGATAAAGCACTAGACAGGAAGAATGACTCTATCCCCCAAATTGTACGATAGAGATACACATATGCCCATGAAAAGATTTACTGCTAAGCCACATCGTAGGAGGTCTTGCCGCAAAGGATCATCACTAATATCGACAGGCGAACCGTGGATGATGCAATATTACCTACATGAACCTCAAAGATCATATAAGGCCAAACAAATTAGCGCTTATCCCCCTATTTTCTAAAAGTCGATGGACGCATACAAATTATGTCTAGCAACGTTCTCAATGATGTCGGGTTGGTGTTCCATCTCCAGTGACGCAAAGAGGACCTTTTGTGCCGAAGCGCCTCGGCTCCACCCCACGGGGACGGGAACGAGGATCACCAAGAGGTGTAACCAATACCCAAGTGAGTAGGGAAGGAGCGGCAGACCTTTTGAATGATGGTATGGGTTAGGACTTCGTAAAAATATATCGCGGTGAAAGAAGCCTATAAAATGCGGATTCTGTGACGGGACTACCTGTGGAAAGTGTTCCCAAACGCAAAATGTACGAAAGCAAGTGCCATATCAAGGGCTACCATGGCCTCCAGCTGAGACCAACGATCTTACTCCTCATACCATGCTCCATCGTCGTGACCTAGCTGGCGATGGTAATGCACTGACCTATACTCGGACTTCTGGCCGACTTCCGAGGGCTGTTGCGGTCCGCCGAGTGGAGCCGATAGAGTTGTATATACATTACTTACCGTAGCTATCCATCTTATAAGCAAGCCATTACCCGATGGCAATTATGGATGTCTCCCCTTACTCTTTGTTACCTTAATCAAATAATTAATTTGACTTCATCATGACGATCCGATACTTGAAAAGCAAGTCTCAATCCCCCAACTCAGCTGCGACACCTCAGGTGGACGTGAGTAGCGTCGTAAAGGGGGTAATCGACGACGTCCGTGCCAATGGCGATGCAGCAGTCCGTAAATACTCAGAGAAATTTGATCGCTGGTCGCCAGCTTCGTTCAAGCTCTCTCAAGCTGACATAGATGCTGCCCTGACGGCCTGTTCGCCCCAAACGATTGCCGATATCAAGGAGGTGCAGAAGAACGTTCGTGCCTTTGCGCAGGCCCAGAGAGACTCCATCCGCGACTTCGAGTATGAGATTCAGCCGGTAAGCCCATTCAGCTTAGGAGAGCCAACGAGACTTATGCCTGCGAAGAGCCAACTGACCAGTCCAAGGGAGTGCACTTGGGCCAGAAAAACCTTCCCATCAACAGCGTTGGAGCGTACGTGATAAGCCAACTTCTACCCATTAACCTAATACTCATCGATGACACTAGGTACATCCCCGGAGGACGCTACCCGCTGCTAGCATCCGCCCATATGACTATTCTGACGGCCAAGGTGGCTGGCGTGCCTCATGTGGTTGGCTGCACTCCCCCGATTGCCGGCCAGATCCCCCATGCCACGGTGGCCGCGATGCATCTGGCGGGAGCGGATGAGATCCACCTGCTCGGCGGAGTTCAGGCGATCGCGGCGATGGCGGTGGGCACGGAGACCATCCGAAAAGTGGACTTCCTCGCGGGACCGGGGAATGCATTTGTCGCGGAGGGGAAGCGGCAGTTGTTCGGTGAGGTGGGCATCGACCTCTTCGCAGGTCCGACGGAGATCCTGATCGTCGCCGATGAGACGGCCGATCCATTCACGGTAGCGACCGACCTTCTGTCACAAGCTGAACATGGGCCGGATTCGCCTGCTGTGCTCATCACGACCTCGGAGCGCGTGGGGCGGGCGGCCATCGACATCATCAATCAGCTGCTTCCAAATCTGTCCACGCGCGAGCTGGCGGGCACATCGTGGGACCGGTTCGGGGAAGCCATCCTGGTGGACTCCCTTGACGAGGCGTGGCGACTGGCGGATGAGTATGCGAGTGAACATGTGCAGATCTTCACCAAGCGGCCTCGCGAGGCACTAGAGAAGATGACGGCGTATGGAGCACTCTTCCTGGGGGAAAAGACATGCGTGTCATATGGCGATAAGGTCTGGATTCCGCCATAGGAAAGCTTACTTGAAAATTTGGAAGGCTGCTTCTAACGTATACTATCTTCCAAACAGGTCATCGGCACGAACCATGTCCTACCCACCAAAAAGGCAGCGCGGTATACAGGGGGCCTCTGGGTGGGGAAGTATCTGCGCACGGTGACTTACCAGGAGGTGACGAGCAGCACCGCCAGTGGGGAGCTGGGTCGGTTGTGTGGTCGAGCTGCAAGGGCGGAGCAGTTCGAGGGCCATGCGCGCTCGGGAGATCTACGGGCCCAGAAATACCTGGGGGATAGATATGACTGGATTGCCTCGTCTGATCAAGCCAATCTGTGAGAGGTGCTTGTGGGTAACCTCGATGGCCAAGAGCTGTCTTCGTGCACTGGCCCTCTTGAAGGGTAATCACGTAAATAGTGAGCGCCAGATAGATGGAGTGGAGATAATAGTGAAAAAAAAAATGGTTTTGAGGATGATCATTCATTTATCTGTCTATGAGCTGTGACTCTAAGAAGTCCTTTTGTACTGGATAGTAGTGTTGAAAATAAGCGATAAAGTGACTGATTGAGAAGCATGATTAGTCATGTTATGCATGTATCCCCGAAACTCGGCCCGAGAGAGCCAATCGCCGACCCCCAATTGTTGCCCCAGTTTTGATGGCCGGCACCGGCGATCCATCGAAAAACGCACCGTCGGTGAACGTGAACAGAGAGGTCCAAGAGAGGAAACCCGACTACAAGATACACGAATAATAAACCATACCCTGGAAGTTGACTGTTTGAATGTGCTGCGCAAAGCAAACAGTGTTTTATAAAGTTTCACACCTCCAATAACCCCTTGGAGAGCACCGCCGTGGGAAATTCCTCCAACGATGACGGCACAACGATCGTCTCTCTTACCCGCGGATATGATAGAGTCCCAGCTGGCTATCATTGATCTTCTCACGGCCATGTTTCCGGGCCCGGGCGAGCTGGACCTGCCCGAGTCTACATCGCAATGTGTGGATCAACTACGGGACTGGTGTCAAGATCCATCGACCGTGCCGTCGGGAATCCCTGCCAGCCTCTTGCTGGGGGTGTGTCTGCCGCTGGAGGACGGCGGGAAGACAATCCAGGTCAATGTCTCCATTCCCTTGCACAGTGAGGGTCCTGCACTAGATCAGCCACCCCCGGCGAAGTATACACTGCGCCAACCAGACTGGATGTCCAAGGCCGAGGTCGCTGCGCTGGCCGCTACGATGCCACAGGACGACGTCTTTACGGCCTTGGACCATGTTCGTGAGGAAGCGACGCGGTTCTTAGAAGCCCAGCCAACGCAGCCGGTGGATCTCTCACCGAGTCAGTCAGGGTCAGGACCTCTGGTGCGGGTTTGGTTCTACTTCCCTTCCCTATCCACGCGCAAGAAGCGGGATGATCTGGTGCATCACGCGGCAGGTTATGGGCTCACGGGATTTGTATTGGCGGGCAAACCAGGCGTGTTGTGCCTGGAGGGGATATCGCAGAATATCGATGCGTACATGAGCTTCATTAAAACCCATTCCTGGGGGGATATCCCCAGTCATCAGAAAAAGGTCAGCGAACGATATCGCGAGACGGAAGGGGTGCAGCGGGTATTTGAGGGGATGGAGGAGATCACGGATTCCCTGGGAGAACGCAGCGGGCAGCGAGCCAACCGGGGGGATATGCAGGCCTTGGAGGCGTGGCTACAGGCCCGCGGATTGCAGCATGCTTTTGAGCAGGTGATCTTCTAGACATAAAACCATAAATGTAATTACAATTATCAAATTACTGACCTCCATTATCGTGCGTCTCTGTGTAAGCAGCCAGCCAGCCGCCGTCGTAGCCATATGCTTCCCTTCCCTCGGCCTTGAAAGCCGATAGTATTGTCCAATAAGCACGATTATCTTGTCAGTTGTAATCGATCTTGTTTTGTTTCTGCTATCTCTACACCTGCATGGCATCATGGACCTTCCCCGGCCCTCTCCCGCCCCCGTCGGTATTTTGCGGGAGTCCCTCGGGGACCCCGTCGCATCGCGGCCTGCGTGGCATGCCGCAAGCAGATGGTATAGCAAATTTATCGTCTTGACCTTTCACCTCCATATTGAATTCCGTCCAACACAAAAACATTGTGTGCTATATAATGTAATCCATAAATGGAGTTTCAAATGACCAATCGGCAGATTTCGTGCGCCCGGTGTCGGAAGCGTAGCTTGTCCTGCACCGCCATCCGCAGTCTCCAAACGTTGCTCGAGGACGATGCTGTATCTAGCGTAGACATTCCACCCCAGCGAAATGGACATATAATATTGACTGAATCATCTCATGGAGAACTATCCACTATATGCTACTATGCCGCTACTCATTGTGTTCCGCACTCAAGGATCACTAGGGAAAGAAAGTGCATCCATAGCGCAAGAAACTAATAATGGTGCTACCACTCGTCTGAGGGCTTGTCGGACACCAGTATTTCCGGTCTTGACCTCGAAACAACCGTAGTGGGATATTTGAATTATCTCAGAATTATCTCAGATTCTATATAACATGATCATGACATCTTCAATATAGCAGCGCAAGAAAATGGAACAAAACAACCAGTTTGGGTATCCTCGTATGCATATCCCCGTCGCCACAACACCACCATCATTCCTCAACGATGACCTGAAGCTTCGCTACACACCTGCAGCAGCGCATTCAATGCCGTCCCAATATCCGAACCACTGTAAGAAATACCGACTATATCGCTTGCTTTTCCACCTGTGTCTGGGAGATCCTCGTAGATACAACGCTCTAGTTCAAATATGTTCTTCTGCTCTGGAGGCAAGTTCTGTATCGGCGTGAAACACAACATACCAGCAGGTCCATGGATCATGCTCAAGTCAATGGTAGTCAGACAGGGAAATAGGTCACGATGCTGACAGAGGTACGTTAACCACTGTGGCGTCAAGCTCGTCACTGACCGCAGACTAAGCTTCTTTAGATTTGTTCGCGAGTTACAGAGAAGTCGAATGAGATCTTCAGCTTGCATCGAGGTTCCCCAGATACTGATCCGTTCCAGGTGATTCAGAGCTGCAATGGACGCACTCAACTGTGAAAAGAATTCGACGGCGAGATCAGTGTATCCGAGGCCAAGATGCAGTTTGCGGAGACCAGTCGCACTGAGGATCATGTCCATCAGGAACGTATAATTCTGGGGGGTCAGTTCCTGCTCTAGGTGCAGGTTCTCCAAGGACTTCCAGCCCGTCTGGAAGGCGGCATTGCTGTAGAGTGACTTTGGGAGACGCGCAATGTCCATGACTTTGGAGGTGTAGTTCATGCCCTTGCCATACCAAAAGAGTTTAACCGGAAGAGAAGCGTCCGCGATGAGGTCAAGGAGGATGCACGCGACATCGTCGGGGTTGAAGGTCGGGCTTTCGTGGAGGTCCGCCTTACTTTGGGGTTCTGACAAAATGGGCGATAGGATGAAAGATCGGCAGTTTACCAATTTTTGTGTCAGATCATCTCGCAGCCGCCGGATCAAGGGCATGTCTAGGGGACATCGGAGGTGACCAGCAGCCGTCCAGTGCCAGTCCAAGATTTCCCCCAGTCTCGGCTCCGGACTCAGGATCACCAGGTGTTGAATATAGCCTCGTATCAGCTGGTTTTCGGCCAGCGCATGCAAGTGGTTTAAAGAGTGCGCGGAGAAGTCTGTGTAGTACTCCGCGTACCGTTGCGCAAAACACCGGTTGGTGAGATGATGCGCGGCGCGGCAAGTCCCTCGGAGCGCGGCCAAATCTTGCGTTGCAAGCTCGTGGCAAATCTTCTCAACCATCTCCAACGGAAGAGAAGATAATCGGGAAGGTTTGCACATCATCTGCTCTGAAATAGACTCTAACATTGTGTTAATTGTTTGGGTTACAAGGAGAAAGGGCCACGGCCAGGCGCGGTCGCGTATGCTTTATAAGGAGCGAGATGGATGCAACAGGGTCCTTGGAAGTACCTTGGAGGCACACGGCGATCATTGAAGCGTCACAACCACCATCTACCTTGACCCCACACCCATAAGAGAAAAAGCGTCATCTTCTCGTGGAAACTGTCATTGCGGCTATGAAATTAGCACAAGACCCAAGGGATAAGTCGCTCCAGAGGTGCGTAGCGATACTTTCCTTGGAATCCCCGACATACCGTGTGGTTCAGCATCGAGCCTGCCAGCACTTCACAAACAACTCCCTATCAGCAAAGATGTATCCGGACCACTATCAGTCATCTGATAAGATGATTGACCTCCAGCAACAGATGGGCATAATCGCCAATCGCTGGCTTGTTTCACCCACAGGATGATATAGAGGCCTCAGGCAGCAGCGCAACTTGACGATCCTGACACGGGATATCTTAGGGTGCCGTCCCCACAGACCATACTTGCATTGATTTTCACTATCGGCCAACCCAACCATTAGAGATCTGTGGGGGAGATGGTGCAATCTAGAGCTTTCCATTTTAATACCATGTTAGGGTGATGGTGGTAGGTAAAAGAGACGACACTACTCCCGTGGGTGCCATGGCAGGACACGGGCAATGACAATCACAGCAATGGGAACCGCAAGATGGCTGTAATTCAGTCCAGTGTCACTCAGGGAGATGCAAATGCCCTCATACCGTGCGTACGCAAGTTATACCAGCATCCATCAGATGTTGATGGAGCTGTGCCCCGTTCTTGAGCTAAAACGTCTCCTGCGTGGGTCATGGTGAGTGATCGCAGCAGCGCCCACAAGTTCCAGGTTTGTCTAACCCAGATCCCCCAGCAGAGAGTACGGCCTCAATCGCTTACCTGTGACACTAAGTTTATCCCGAACAAAGGTGGAGTTGTTAGCGTGGTTCGTCCCAGTGAAGCGTGGTGCCTGACGTAACATGGGAGCGGTATCAACCACAACCTGATTTGTCCAGTAGGCTAATCTCCAGGATGGAAATGTGATAAGCATGGGCCCTTTCATTCTGAGTAAACCTAGTTACCGGAGAATCGAAAGTCATTCTGTGATATTTTGGTTAAACACAATTACGACACCCCAATCTTGGGGCCGAAGGTGTTGAAAAGCTGCAGGAAGGAGATGTATAAGAACTAGATACAGAGGCAGTGCACATGAGCAGGAGGGGCTATTGAAGCTTTGTTCCTTGTCCCTTATAGATCTTAAGCCAATAACGGATGACCCTGTCATACCCTGGAGCTGTTCGCTTTCGGCTAGCCTGAGCTACCATTCTCACCCTTGCCAGCGTCGTCCAATCGCGACCATTCATAGAAAACATCACATATTTCGTCTTCCTCCTCCAAAGCCGCTAGATCAAACGGCTTACTACCTTGCGCGTCTTCCACGCCGGGGTTTGCACCATGCTTCAGGAGCCACTTCACGGCCAGTAGATTCCCTTGGTAGCTGGCCGCATGAAGGGGAGTGCCACCGAAATGTAGGAATGCGGGATAGCCGAATTCATTTACGTCGGCCCCACGTTGTATCAGGTGCTCCATCATTGGAATGGCCAGTCCGCCTCTCCTACATGCAGCATAATGTAGGACATTACTGTTGTGGATGTTGGCTCCATGATCAAGGAGGAGGTCAACAGTCTCTGGGCTACTTCGACGGGATGCCATGCCAAGGACTGCCCCTGAGCCCTTCGTAGGAGACTGATCAGGCTTCTCAAGGTCATTGAATGACTGGGCATTCGGGCAGCCGAAGGTGGGGTCGGCGCCTTGTTCCAGGCACCAGTGAACGAGCCGTTGGTCGTTCTTCTTTACAATGTGTCTGTTCCTTTGGTTAGTCCGTGTGATCAACAACAGGCAAGCAAAGGGATACCCACACAAGAGGCACTGTACCTAGAGGGTGTAGCTGAGTCTCAAAAGTAAGACCGTTGTCTAGCAAAGCCTTGACTGCCTCAGCCGAGTGTACTTCATCCACGACGGTGGGAGACTGGGGTTTGGCGCCTGCATTTAGTAGATAGCGCATAGTTTCGATATGATCGCCCCGGGCAGCTTCTTTCAAGCCCAAGGTCAGAATTTCTTGGTCTAGAGCCTTGGCCTTCTGATGTTCCTTGACTTGGGCCAAGTCACCGTGACGGCAGCTCTTCAGAAAGGGCTGATTAGCCTCCTCCACCACCTGAAATGGAAGTGACATTATGCGTGATGAAACAGATGGAACTGATTCTTGGAAGGGTGGTGAGAATGGTTGAGGGAATGAGGCTTTGGTAATGTTGTATTCGTGAGCGCCGGCCGATGAAGGACCGGGGGGCGGTGGATGTTGCGGCGGAGAAGCTAGGCGTGGGGGCTGCAGCGGCTGGAGACATTCAAGACCAGGATTCTGGATTATTCGGCCTCCGATGCAAATCTAGAGGACGAGCGCTTAACTGGGTCGTCGAAGTATCCAAGCCCCGACACCAAGGTTCACATCGGAACCCCGTTAGCGCGGACGGGTAAACATGCACCACGGTATCGAGAGCAAGCGAAGCGCACCACTGCGCAGGTCAACTCAATTCTGGGATTGTCAGCAGAACCGACGGAATATGACTACGAGACGATCAAGCCCAAAGATGACAGCGATGAGGCCATGAGCAGCGACCTAACCTATGGTGAGGGTAAATTTCTCTTCCAATATGGCGGCAGCTGTGCGAGTCCCACCTGGCAGGTCTGATATGGGGGCAAGGTCAGTGGCCCCCTTTGGGAAGCTTCGCAAGTCAGTGCGCAGAAGCGGCCGGATTCGTGCTCTCTGTTGTCTTCGGCTGCTCACGCCACTTCCACGGCCAAGCCCTGAGCGGTTCCACACCTTCCACTGTGCTTGACCCTGCTGTTGAAGCATCCGAGGGGGATGGTATAAGAAAGATAGCCAGCCGATCGTGTTGTATCACATTGACTGTATTATAGTATCTTAGTACTAGTGTAAAATTGTCAGCCTTCACAATCAACACTATACAGTTCATATTTGTACTTAGCTAGTGATCCTTTGCACCATATGACGCTTCTCTCCTAGTAGGAGAGGAAATAGAAGTCAGGAACGCAACGGAGACAATTAATTAATGGAGTGGGGCGATGCTGCATGAAAGGGACATCACCGAGACAGCCGATGCGCCGTGATAATTCCATTGGTGGACTCCATGCAGTTCTGAAGGGCACAGACACTATAAATACTACCTCCAATCGTCGTGGCTCACGGACCCTTTGGCGGGGCACGTCACAACTGCCGGGGGCTGAATTGGAACAGTGTCATCCTTGCCATCTCACGTCGTGACCTTGTGGTTTTACGCAAGACTACTGTCGCCAGAATGATTGCCAACCTAGCCATCGCAGTGGTCTTCAGCATTGGTGTGATAACCCTGCTATATGTGATCACCTCGCATCAGCCCAACAGAGGAGCAGCAACTGATGAGAAGCGACCACCTCTCAAGCTCCCACTGATCGGGGATCTTCACAGCTCTCCGATCGATAAGCCCCTCGCCAACTGGGACGACTGGGCGCGACAAAATGGGCCCATCACCGTTTCTAAATTATTTGGCATCGTCCCAGTCGTGATACTTAACTCTTACGAGGCGGCCACAGAATTATTCAGTCGCCGCAGCCAGTGGTATAGCAACCGGCCGCGTTCGGCGACAATGGAGATGATCACCGGAGCAAAGCCCGGACAGTCTCGATTCACTTTGATGCACGACTACGACGATTACCTCAGGCTGCATCACAGATTACTGGCTCCCAGTCTCGGGGCCCTCGCAGCGCCGAGATATCAGCCGTTAATGGAATTAGAGAACAACCAGTTGCTCTGTGACCTGTGTGATGCTCTTCACGGGTGTCCCGATGGCGCCACCATTAGCACCGCGACGATTTATCCCCTCCTGGAACGCACCCAGTCGAGTATTATTCTGGGATTACATTACGGCCTGCGCATCCTTCACCCCAAAGACGAACTTCTGCAGGAGATCATCGGTACTCAGGCCCAAGTGACCCATCTGGCTGCTAATCCCGGCCTACCAGATCTCATTCCAACCTTGCGTCAACTCCCTGGATTTCTTTCCCCCTGGAAGCGTGCAGCCGATGAGCTGTTCGCAACCCAATCAAACCTCTACATGCGTCTCTTTCATCGAGGAAGGGATTCAGACAGCTGGAACGCCACAAAGCAAGCCCTTGCAACGGCCGAGAGGTACACTGCTGTACCAGATCTCGACCTTGCCTTCACTCTGGCTACATCTATCCAAGGTGGGATGGAGACATCTCCCCGTCAAATGCTATGGCTGTTCATTGCGATGCTGCACCGACCCTGCGTTCTCTCTCGGGCACATGCTGTGCTTGACGCAGTGGTGGGACGAAGTCGAGCGCCGCGATTCTCCGACCGACCGAAGCTGGTATATATCGATGCCATTGCTCATGAGCTCTTCCGCTGGCGGCCCATCTCGCCCGGCTCCATCCCGCGACGGGCCGACCGGGACGATGAGTTCCAGCGGGTGAAGATTAGCCAAGGTGTCACCATCATGGCCAATGCATGGGCCGTTGGCCGAGATGCACAGATTTTTAATTCCGCCCTGGGCGATCTCCACGACTTCGTGCCTGACAGGTGGCTGCTGCAACGTAACCCCCACAACGCAGAGGCTCAGCTACGGTCGGATCTCCCGCTGCCCGTGTTTGGGCAGGGTCGACGCATCTGCCAGGGCAAGAGAATTGCTACGGATGGGGCCTTTCTGCAGGTAGCCAATTTGTTGTGGGCATTTGATATCATGCCGGCGGAAGAGGAAGAGATGGACCCATGGGCCATGACTGTCGTGGGGTTCATGACGATGCCCAAGGAGCTGAAGATGCGGCTGAAGCCTCGAGGTGACTGGGTGATGGAGGCCATCAAACGGGAACCCAAGATCGGGGCGGAGGACCTGGATCAAGTGATGGGGTCTGTCAACGATGTGGAGAGGTAACTGGAAATAATATTGCGTTTGGTGTGGAGAGGTACCCTCGGTTATGGGACCGATGGGCATCGGTTAAGGGATGCTCTAACGTCACGGCCTGAAAGCACGGTCTAACAACATGATAGATGAGTGGGAGAAGGTTGTCTAGAGGAAAGTAAGAATAAAGTTGTCTATGAAAGTAAGCTCGAAACTGTAACTTTATTGTTGTGCGACACGATTTAGAGATGCCGCCCGATCGCCGAATAGAAAAAGCAAAGGGCAACAAAGAACATTAAAGTATGAAGTAGTTTTGTGGGAGAAAAGCAAAAAGCAGAGCAGAAACAGACGCGCAAGCCAGGAAATCAAGACCAAAATTACGGATAACCCCAATAATCAGCGAGACAGACAAGACACATAACATGATTGTTTGTATGATGGACAAGTGAGGAATCATAATACTTTATTGTCTCCAATCATTGGCAAGGGATTGCCGACCGCAGCCTGATTCTCCGCATTTCCGACCGGTCCAGCGACTGGAGAGAGCAGCCTCTTGTTGTCGGGGATAGGGCCCTACACAGTCTCGTTTCAAGAAAAGATAAAAAGATAGGTATGGGTGAGGGAGAACCCCCATGGCTATAACAATAGGAAATTATACATTTACGGATGAAGTCAGTCCTCCGTCATCCTTTTTCGACCGACCATCCCGCCCCCTTCTCTGGATATAAATCTGATGCAAATAGTATTGACACCGGAACTTATTTCACAGACGATCGTACATAACTACTTTTCATCATGTCGGTGTTTGCGCTGCACGTCGGCTGCAGCCTGGCGCAGGCAATGCTGACCATCATAATGACCTCTTATGGCTACGCCGCTACTTTCGTCATGTCCTTTACCGTTTGTCGGCTAATTCTATTTTGCAGTCTCTTGCCATTGTACCTGGTTAAACTGTCATGCAATATCAGCCCCACGGTGGTTCGGAACTTCGCCAGCCTGTTCTCCAGTCAAGGGAGGAACCAGCTCGTCCAAGAGGCAGAAGAGTACCGGGGCCAATGTGAGTCTCTGGCCATCGCTCAGTGCCAAGGGACATATTGTTTCAGCGAGTACAATTTGTATCGCGTCCGTCGTCAGGGACCAGGATGGATGCCCGGCATTCCCTGGGCTGATTGTACGGAGGAGATGGTCATCTGTGGAGCCACTGTCCGCTTCGTGCATCTGAAACCAACACTCGACGGTCCCGCAGGCCGCAGGCGCCCGATCATCTTCCTGCATGGCAATCCGAGCTGGAGCTATATCTGGAGAAATGTATAGATGTCAAGTATCGACCTTTGGATCAAAATGTGGCTGACCCCAGCAGATCCTTCCTCATCTGGTGGACCAAGGTCATGAAGTCTATGCGCTCGACTGGCTCGGACACGGTCGCAGTGACAAGGCGACACATCCCGAATCGGTTACCTTTGAACTGCATATTCACACGCTTATGCAGTTGTTCAAGGTCCACAATCTCCGCCATGCAACCATCGTCGCGCATGACTGGGGTGGGTACGTTGTTGACCCTGCTAGTATCTTTGGCTGTCTCCGTCCATGGCTCACTGTCTCCAGGTGCGTCGCGTTGTGCGCAATCCCGCGGCTGCCTCAAACGGCCTGCACTCGCCTCCTCCTCCTGAATTCCTTTCTACCGCCGCGTCCGGACGAATGGAATCTTCACTACGGTCTACTCTATGCCATCTGGTTTCTTTCAACGGGCCTACTGGGCGGCTATGTACCCGAGTCAGGGGTAATGCGCTTCATGTCCCCACACTTGCCGCAACCCGAGGTCGATGGATACAGTGCGCCGTATCAATCTCTCCCAGTAGCCACCAAGGCCAGTGTCTTCCGGTTTGGGCACATTGTCCCGGTCACGCCGCGCTTTGCCTTACATGGCCTCCGGCAGACGCGGTTGTGGAAATTGTTGGAAGGTCTCTGCGGACCCCGTCATTTTGACAACCTTAGTCAACAGGCCAGACTGGCAAAGCGCGGGGAGGAGGTCCGACAGAGCTGGAGAGCAGGCCTCGAGAAGGGTAACCCAGACGTTGCGGTGGTGTTCGGAGAGCAAGACCCTCTATTGAAGCTGTACAAGGACATTCTCGTCGATTGCATTCACCCGGCACATATGGTTGAATGGGCGCCACAGGGCATGTGGCTCTCTGGAGGAGGCCACTACCCCATGGAAGAGAAAGCGGCTGATATATCCCTCTTGGCGGAGAGGCTTGCAAGCTAATGATACAATATGACCTAGATATTCCACAGATGGTCTGCTCTCCTGGCGAAGGGACAATTCAATTGCAGGTGAAATATCGAGTTAGCGGACAGAGAGATTAAGTGCAGTTTAGATGATACATACTCTGATGGGTTGAAACTGATATAGTGTTGAGCTTTACGAATGTAGTGCTGTAGTGGATTCCTCTCTGATCGGCCGGGTGGTGAACCGAGTGTGAGCTTGTTAACTAGCAATTTGTATCGAAATGCTCCTAGGATTTCTGCTTGATTTACCACCATCCAAAATCCTGTGTCAATTAGCCGCTGATAAGCGACAACCAAGTCACTGCCCACTATATCCTACACAAGGCAGGACTTGATCGAGTGAAAGATTGGCTTGGGTCGTGTAGATATAGGATACAAGCCATAAAAAAATAAGAAATCGCAAGTCCTACAGCAGATAAGTGAAATATTTGTTCAGGCTCGGCCATCATTCCTGACTAGTTCTCTTGAGTACAGAGGCAAGCTAGAGCTCAATATGCAAGAAACACCTCACCATGTATGAAAAGCATACCAGTCGTGTCGGCTCACACAGGCCAATACCCTTAACTGCACCCAAAAAAACAAAATTCTAATGGTGCACGTTACTAACTTCACCCTCGTTTCCTATTTCCCATTTCTCCACATGTTGAATGCTCCGAAGGAATGAATGAAAGAAAGACGCTTCAGAATTAGGGACATAATTAATTCGGGGTGCATAACAGCATCCTGAATACCATATGGCAGACTTAGTACGAGTCCATAGCGTCCTCCTCGCTTCTTTTCAGACCACCACCAGCCAGCGAAATGATGGCCTCAGTAGGGATAGGCTCCTGGCGGCGCCCAAGACCACCCCCGATCAATGAACCCAGAGCCTCAGAAGGGATAGGCTCCTGGCGGCGCCCAAGACCACCTCCGATCAATGAACCCAGAGCCTCAGAAGGGATAGGCTCCTGACGGCGCCCAAGACCACCTCCGATCAATGAACCCAGAGCATCAGAAGGGATAGGCTCCTGACGGCGCCCAAGACCACCTCCGATCAATGATCCCAGAGCGTCAGTAGGGATAGGCTCCTGACGGCGCCCAAGACCACCTCCGATCAATGATCCCAGAGCGTCAGTAGGGATAGGCTCCTGGCGGCGCCCAAGCAGGGAGGCCAGGACTTCAGCCGGGACATCCTCATCACCACGTCGCTTGAGGCCACCGCCTGCCAAGGAAATAATGGCATCAGTTGGGATAGCCTCGTCGTCTCGCCTACCGAGGCCACCCCCGATCAAAGATCCCAGAGCAGCGGCAGGAATAGGCTCCTGACGGCGGGCATACTGACTGTCACTGACCTCATAGGGACAGATCTCGTTATCAGTGCACACAGGACCGGGACCAGTGGGGATGTTGACATTCGGATTGGTATTATCATTCTCCGTGGGTGTGTTTCTCTTGTTATGTCATCAGTAACTACCCAGAAAGTCAGGCGCATATGGGCCTTACCATGGTGACTGGCGCTGCCAGCGCCGACGTAAAGAGGATAACTGCAGTGGCCAAAGAGGTCTTCATGATGAACAGTTTGCTTTCTTGAGTCTTCTGTGGAGTAGGATTTGAGATTATGCTGTAGCTGTGTGATGTAGAAATAGGATACGTAGAGGATTTGTTGCTTTTATATACCTTATGTCTATTGGGATATTCCTTTTCTGGGTTGATTTGTGAGAGGCAACCGACGTCACTATCCAGTAGTATGTTGGAGGCAACTGCCATCTAGCTCATGTTGATCGGGTCACAACAATGTCACTTGATTGAACAGAGAATGTCCTATATTCAGCAGGCAGGTCGGAGATCCGAGAGCTCTCCTCCCATTAACTAGGCAAAAGGTCTCACATGAGGTGGGAGATAGCCCGAACTCCGCGGCATTTCCAAGAGCAGGATAAAGCGCCATGTCCACGTTCTTACGTATGCGAAACTGCTCTTTGATGCGTGATGGGCGAAGAAGACAGAGCTGATTGTACTGAAGCGGCTGTGGTAACGAGAGAGATCCCCGGGAGGGGTCCAGCTTCAAAATGTCAACGGATCAAGAAATGCCTGATTCGTGCCAACCTCATGCATGATCCAGGAAACAAGCAATATGAACCAAGTAAATCTAACATAGACAATCGTCGCTCGCCACTTATCTTTTCAAATAGTATGTCCAGTAGTGGAGACTAGGCTCTGCTAGATCTTACACCCGCCGAGGAGAACTAAGATGACCTAAAATCTTACGGGTAGCCGGTGATCCTCTCGGCCGCTATCAGCCCCAGAAAAAGCACGGTCGTATCAGAAGCAAAGTGTGATAAATCATCGTGAACTACATAAATGGCGCCCTTAATATTACTAATCGAAAACATGACAACCCACCAATCGTACGACAGGGATATACTGACCAGATTTTATAATCGATCATACTACTGCGGCGTCATGGACTGAATTCGGGCTCCCTATCCAGCAATATCTTGTCGACAACCAGAAAGGACAACGTTACCCTCCTGGAAGACATGTAATTAAGTGTATATCGCTTATGCACCTGAACTGTTTTTGTTTCCCTCGTTGCCCTTTTTGTCCTCATGATCCTCCCTGGATAAAACGCGACGTTGAACCTCCTCGGAACAAGCAAATAACAGCCTTGGAACAGATCTGTGGGCTATCCCTAATCATAACGATCGCGCCTAGTATAGACTTTGTTGATTGGGCTATTTGAAAATGGTATGGTATTCGATCTATACCTCTAGAACATAATGTACTAACGTGTGTAATCGCTATTTTGGAGGTCCACATGCCCGGCCCACTCACCATGCAGAAAACCATGAAAAAGGAAAGATCTACAGGCAACCCAAATCCCGGCATTTTGCCACACAAATAGTCCATTTGCTTAGGCTCAAGTGAACGATATCTCATGCCTAGTATGAATTACACATATTCTTGTTTCATCCTATTACCAAAAACGAAAAGCCGCATGTCTGCCCATGGATTATCTGGCTTGTGCCTCGTCCAACATGAGACTACTCAGGAACTGGGGAGACCGCACCTAATCCGAGCCCACCTAAATGAAGATGTCAAAATTATATCAGGCGGAATTCCCCCATGTGAACCGTATGGCTGTGTCCCGAGCAGTTAGATGGTTGGTAAAGCAGAACTACCAAGGCAGTGGATCTTCTCAACAGTATCACTGCCGGTATCTCTTTCACTCCGGTGAATGCCGGAAAATGTGACATTATGTATTAGTATCCTGGCTTGTCCTACTTACCTGTACTAGTGCTTGGCCTTCTTCCCACCTACATAGGACTATTGATGCGGCATTTAAACAGCAAAAGCAAAGGCCTGGGCTACCAACACAGTCGAGTTCCTTTGCCCGAATATCACCGATCAGTGATGATGGAATGGAATTAGTGACTTGCTCTCGCAAGCTGCGGATAGATATCAGTCCCGCGATTTGAAAGGCGGCAATTACATACTAATCGATGAGTACAGACAGAGCCAAGGCACGTCATCTGAACTCTAGATTATCGCAATCTTGAGTCATCAGGTGGTTATAGTTAGCCATGGGGCGCCTCCAATAGTGTGCATGCATGTACGCGTCGTCATGTACCCTAGAAGGTGCGGGATCTACAATGTAAATAGGTTTCGGGGTCTATATCTGCTACATATACTCTCTTTATGCAGAGACACGCATCGGAGAAGTAAGCTGGCGAAAAACTCATCGCACATTTCCTTCTTCAACCTGGCTCAATACCTTACCATTCCTGCGATATCCCGAATAATCACACGATGTACGAGCAAGTTGCTCAGCGCTCAAGCTTTGAATCACTTCCTATTGTGAAGGACACGCCTAAGCAGAGGTTGGGGTATCTGAAGGTGGAAGGCATTTCTACCGTTATTCTCTTACTTCTTGCCACTTTTGGGGTCATTGATCTCTGTTACCAAGCATACAATAGGATTTACACTACGAACCACATCCATATCCACGCAAATACACAATCCGAGCCAGATATATCGTGTAATTGCGGAGACACTATCACCGAGGCCCTTTCAAACAACTGCACATATGATTCTTTAGCTGCGGCGTGGCTTCCGCCAGCTTGTCGGAACGACGACCTCACTTCAGCTTTTGAAAAGGCGGGGTCAAATCCGGATGGAAGCTGGCCTTACTTTGCAGATGTGAATATGACACGACCGCTGTCACTGAATGAGGTGTCTATGCTTCCTGTTACTAGGGCAGGGGGTGGAGATGCAAAAAACGTCTTTTACACGACCCACAGGTGGCATTTAGTGCATTGTATGTATTACTGGAAGAAAATGTTCTTGTCGCCAGAAATAGGAACAACAATTGAAAGGAGATATAACAATGTGGGGCATATTGAGCACTGTCTGAGGGCTGTACTAGAACGGAAAGAAGGCCTGGACGAGGTTACCACGGGGGCTGGAGTGGCATTGCACTCGGATTGGATCAATGGAAGGCCGGATGCACAAGACCATGACCATGAACACGACCACAAATAATGCGGTGTGCGATTATCTATCTACAAAAGAACAAGCCTGTCAATGTTTCGTTTGCAATCAAATAGCAGTACCCTGTGTTTGTTCGAGCGTGGTGTCGCTTGATCATTTTCGATTCTGAATCCGCAACATTGTGGCGTCATTTCTTTCGAACTGTGCTTTGGGCATTATAGAGTCTGGCAGGTTTCCAGTCAATGACTAATCTTGATATGAATGCCAGACATCTGATTGTTGTTTTCTCTCCATATGATGTAAAGAGGTGATGATGATAATATGAGATCGCCGGGCCTTCGCTAAAGTCATATATCCCGGTTCCCAATGTGAATTTACGATAGGAATAAAGCGCAACGAGAATTAGTTCAACCATGAAGCTGCTCAGTCCGGGCGTCGGTCCTAGGGGATGCATTCTGAACATGATTTTCTGATCAGGCTACTATGGTGTAAATCAAGCAGACAGATTGACGGATCCGCCGGGAACCATATGGGAGAGGGTCGATTTCATCGTCCCATTTCTCTGCAGCTTCAATACGTTACTTATTGTAGAATGGCGGGACGGAGGTCACCACGTCAGCCTGAACTGCACAAGAACGGAACATCAAGTGCCTGAGTCAAGTTACATATTATTTATATTTGTGGGTTTATTGCTGTTCTTTCCGATCTACGCTTTCTCGCACAGTGCACGTGTATATAGGTCACAAGGGTCTCTAGCATTGATTTCATACACTCGAGAAACAAGTCAGGTGATAGCTTCACCCATAATTGTGATTGAAATGCCCGTGGCCAATCTAGCCCAGGCCCTGGCCGAGTACCCTACAGTAAACATAGATTGTAGAGGATCAGTGTTGCTTCCTATGTAGATCGCATTAGATCCAATAGCGACCGCTCATGTAAGCGCCTGGTTGGAGAGAGAAGTACCCGGCTTCCGCAGAGGTCCTATTTCAGGCATTTTGGGGGACAGAGCATGTATACTTGGCGGAAATCTGACCAACCAGCCCCCATTTCCGAATTATGATGGTGCGGGTCTAAAGGTGTCACATGAGATGATGATATGGAAGAAAGGAAATGGCATCGTTCGACAAGGGGTGCATTACAAGCAAGGTTTGGAGATGAACATGGAAAGATTGGGTGATAGATTACTTACCTTATATGAAATAGCATGTGAAAAATTATAATAGCACAAATGATATATTTGACAAAAGCAACACCGACAGCCTATAAGGAATGTTAACTTAGCTCTGGCCGAGGCCCCTAAGCAGCATAAAATTGCATGATGGAGATCACCATTGTGTAACATTGGGCTACCATCCAATCAGCAATATATAGATTGGGCTGCACCTTGTCGACGAGGTATTCTGCTCCTCCCACTAAAGCAAAGTTTCAAAGGCTAAGTGGACATGGGAAATATCTTATCTAAGTCAATTATATATACAGTGCATGTCAAAGTCCCGTAGACTTGCGCTGACTAGAATCGTGGACAGTGAAAGGACTATAATTTAGCACCTTTTGTATTGCGCAGGAAGGCCAATGACTCTGCCATCACTCTCTCCCACTCCTTGGTGAACCGAGACCTCTCTCCTGGCGACAAATCTTCCCATCCTGCAGCAATGCGACGCTCATCAGTGCTCCATCGCTCCATTTCTGTCCGTATCCATTCTCCTAATGTGCTGGCGGTCAAATCCACTTTCTCCAGAGGCAGCGCATGACCAGCACCCTCAACCCACAAATGTCGGACGCGACCGTACCGCACAATTCCACTTCCTCCAATACTATCCCCAGTTCTTTCTGCCATGGTAGTATGAAGTCCGGACTTAAATAACGGGCTCGATGAACCACTAAGAAATAGCGCGGAAGGGCGAAGATGTGGCAGCAATTTTCCAGCCACAATGGGTTCAGGCCGGTATGCCTGTTGGCCAGGTGGCAAGCCGGCCATCACGTCAGGAAAGAACAGCGGATCATGAGGGGGTTCTGGAAGACGCTCGCCATTGTTTTCAGTCTGTAGCCCCAGTTCCTTATGCCGGTTTGGGTTCGCACGGGCATAGATCATTGCCTCCTGAAATTTGGTTGTGGTCAAAGTAACTGGCGTCTCGGAGTCATGCGCGCCGGCCTTGGGATAGAGGGCCGTGGGAAGTTCCCGATAGCCCCACTGGAACCAGCGTTCGAGGACCCGCGGATCCCACGACCGCAAATATTGCCGAGCTTTCTCTTCCGCTGCGGCCCGTGAAGGCCAAACATCTCGCTTGTGCTTGGTGAGGTGAACAAGAAGCGGAGCGTCTGCGTCAGTGTTTTTCTCGATAATGTAAGGCTCGATGAGCATAAGGGATTGGAGTATCCGGGGATGCATCAAAGAAAGGAAAACGCTGTTGGTGCTCGCATTAGAAGCCATCGCACCCTGGGATTGGTGTAAAAACTAACAGTTGTGTTGCACCCAAACTATGCCCGACTCCCATAATGGGCCGGGTCATCTTGTGACGGAAGTGATTCATCAGGAGAAGTAGGTCCCGACTATGATCGAACGCCGACGCTGCTTCGAGTTAGCCACCCACCAACGCCCTTGAAAATATCAGGTCCTCTCACTCACGGTCATTACCCAAACCGGCTTCGTTAATGATACCGCTGACACCTTGATTTGTGGCATCGGCAATCCAAATCGAGCCAATCTTAAATTCTTCCTTTTTGCTCCTGGCATAAAGGTCTTCCCACAGGGGCTCATAGAGTTCCTGTAGACATCTCAGTAGTTATTCCGGCATGACCAGAGCCCGGCACTTTACCTTAGCAAAGCCAGTACCGTGCGCAGCAACAATTGTAAGGTCACCATTCTTAGGATCAGGGTTGTCTATGGGGGTATATTGTTTGATGCAGAGTTTTAGCGGAGTATCTTGGCTGGCTGTGGCTCGAGGATATTCTCTCATGAATTGTGCATCCATAACATGGTCCGTGATAAGATAAGGGTATGTCATCTTGCCCAAAAGATTCAGCTAATGTCCCTGCTGCGATGCAAGCGTCAGATTGTGAAGTATGCTATATAACTACCATCCGCACGCTATCCGGGTGGCTGGTTGTATAAGACACCTTGATGCGAGAATAGCCTCTACCGAAAACCCAAGCTCGGATAATAAATCGGATAGCCGATCCTGAAAAGTCTGGTTTTCCTCATTTACCCACTTCAATTCACGGGCAATAGATATGTGGTGGACTCTTGACTGCGGTGGGAACTTTGCACCCCCGCCAGACAAGATCGGGTGAAGATCGGATCCACATGGGCTGTGACGAACCTCTGGGACCAGTGGTTACCGAAGATATGGTCCACGCGGACATTCGAATCAACAAACCCCTCCAGCGTTGTAAGTAGTTTTGGTCCCAGGCATTCAACACAGCCATGGCACGACGACGGTGCGAACGAATGCTGGGATATTTCCAGATGCTATTAAGCCCTGCTAAACCTCTCGCTCTGAATCTCCCACTGCAAAATATCCTCTACCGCCCATTTCGCCCGACTCTTCCCATTGTTCTTTAGCGCACTCCACACATTTCCACACCAAATCCTCAGCTAAGGCTCCACAGCTCAGCTACGAAGTACAGCAAAGCTGATTGATCTGTTCGATTGCTTTCCCGATACGGCACATTAGCATGATGTGATGCATCCATCAATGCTCCACCGCGCAATCAACTCCTCGAACTAAACGTGGGCAGTGGATGCATATTCCAGGCTTGACTGAGGTAACTCTTGACTCGTGTAAATTCAAACCACCGAACTACTGCGATTGTTTATACCATGCAAAATCTGCATCTCCGCCAACGGTTCCATAGGGTGTCGATTGCGGGCTACCTGAGTCGCGGTTCATCATATGAATGACCCTTCACCCTTCGCATGATGGCTTACAGCTTTCACCTGGCTCCTCTCATGAGCGCGTCCCTCTTTTGCGAAGTCAAATACCTTGTGCCTAAGGGAATCGGGTATTCCATAAAGGAATCATGGCGCTTTATCTTATATCACTGGGCGTGATATCGCTCTTCTGCTACGTAGGTCATAATGACCTGCCTATCCCAATATTTTCTGACAAAGCAGGTGTTCTCACTTGTCACATATCGACTCTACTTCCATCCGCTGGCTAGGTTTCCCGGGCCTTGGCTGGGGGCTTTCACCGATTGGTACGCAGCATACTATGCATGGCGAGGTGACCTACACACAAAAGACTATGAATGGCATGAGAAATATGGTAAGTGATGTGAGTCTTCGCATTGTGGAACCCAGAGTAACCTGGTCGCACTTTGAATTAGGCGAGATCGTACGCTTCGGGCCCAATTCCCTATCCTTCAATACCTCAAAGGCTGTGAGCGATATCTACGCAGTCAGAGCCAATGTTCAAAAGTCAGACGGTTACGCATCAATGAGCCCGAGTCGATATACCCCAAATACCCTCACTGCGATTTCTAAGGACATCCACACCTTTAGGCGTCGCATATTGACGCAAGCATTTTCGGACCAGAATATTAAGGAGATGGAGGATCGTATCCAAAGAAATATTTCCAGCTTTCTCGACATCCTTACTACAGATAGCGAACCTGAATCAGGGTGGAGTTCTCCCAAGAATATGTCGCAGATGTGCGACTGGCTAGCCTTCGACGTAATCACTGATTTAAGTTACGGCAACGATCTTGACATGTTGAATTCACCTCAAATGCGTTGGTTCCCATCTGTGGTTCGGAAAATATCCCAGCGAAGTCTGATAGTATGCTCCTTCAGTGCTTCCTTTTTCAAAGACATAATATCTCTGACAGATGCATTAGGGCCTTTTTCGACCTTGTTTCATAAAAATGAGGCTTGACTTAGTTCTACTAACCCAAAAGTACAGAGAAATACTAGCTGCGGCAAGGTGGACCCGCTCTCAGGCGGCTGCACGAATGGAGATTGGAAACTATGATGAGCAGAAAGATATCTTCAATGTGATGATGAATGCAAGAGATAAAAAGACTGGATTACAGTTCACTCGAAAAGATCTAGGCCTTGTGTCAATGCTCTTGCTCGTTGCAGGTATGTAGAACAATCTTCCGCAGAGATGCTACGCGGCCTAGAAACCTCCAGTTTCCGGCGTCTTCTTATTTCATTATGCTGAGGTGTCCTAGGTTCTGATACAACAGCTACTGCTATTTCTGCCACCTTAAACTACATCCTTCATGATGCGAATATCCTGGCGCACTTGATACGTGTCATCCGAATGGCGTTCCCGACAGAATCATCAATAACAACATCTTCTGTGCTTTCGTCTCCGGATTGCTCTGTCCTCCACGCCTGTATTAATGAAGCAATGCGGCTTACTCCCCCTGCACCTAATCTTTTACCCCGAACACTTCTATCCGGTGGCATGGAAGTAGATGGCACATATATACCGGCAGGGACAACCGTCGGTGTATCTGCTTATACCATACATCGCAACAAAACATATTTCTACAATCCCGATAGATTTGAGCCAGCAAGGTGGCTTGATGGCAATGCAGCCGGCCAGCAGCAGATGCAAATGGCATTTGTTCCATTCAGTGTTGGGCCGAGAAAGTGTGTGGCATGGAGACTTGCCTGGGCAGAACTGAATTTAACAATAGCAAGGGTGTTGTGGAGGTATGACCTGCGCCTTTCAAAGAACGCATGTGGTTGCAATTCAGGTACCAGGTGTGAGTACAACTTCAAGGCTGGGGTAACCACGGCTGTTAATGGGCCGGTGATTGAGTTCAGACCTAGGATAGCATGAGTATCATCTGTCTATTTACCCGAACGAATGTTACCTACTATAAATTACAATCCTATAGAGATAAACGATAATGTCATGTGTAAGTTTACAGATGTGATAAAGTTACCCAGTCTACGGTGGTTAGGATCGCTACTGCAGCACAGTGGAAGGCAGCCATGGCATAATATGCATGCAAAATCATTGCTTGTCAGGAATGAAGCTGGTGAAGTACGTTATTTATCTTGCGCAAAGTTGTATCTCCCACACAGCCGCCCTTAAAATCCCAACATTGCGTTCATCTCCTGTCCCAACTTCTTGGAATTTTCATCCTTACCATCGAGCTTGATGGCACTAAGGCCCATTGCCACTTTACCGGCTTCAGATTGAATATCAGCAATTGTTGCTCTATCCGAGAATTGGGACTCTCCCAATCCACCTGGGAAGTCCGGCGGAGGGACCCCCTTCAAGAACGCCTCGCGTTGTTGCTTGACGTATTGCTATGTGAGGTTAGTGTCAATGTCAAGAGCACATACGTTATTATGTGGACAATCATCCTACCATGTTGTTGGGGGTTAATGGAACCGAGGGAATGTAGAAAACACAAGCATCAATATCCCCTGTGTTTTCCATTTCTGTGCCGTGGATGGTATCAGCACTCCAGAACACTGTTTTCACATCCGGGTTAGCTTCGTCCAGTTCATTGGCTCGTTGTCAGTCTTACCAGTATCACCCGGCTCAACCGTGGGATAGGGGATCATAGTTTCGCTGAGTCTCAGGTGGGGGTGGAGGGTAGGGGTGTGTTCTTGAGCAGTTCCAGGATTGGCCCCATGCAGGAAAACATCGCCCTCATCATCGTCAAGAGAAAACTTCCATCCATCCAGGGAGTCCTTTCGAGTAGGCTTGAAGAAGGGTCGAAGCATCCAGTAAGCAGTAGTAGGTTGCAGAATTGGGTGAACGACCAAAGTGCCTAGTAAAACCACGCATTAGTACGGAGCGAGTAATCGGACCAAGATTGGCTAACCTTGCTGGGGTCCATGGCGAGACAGCCCGAGCCAGCTTTGGAAGGTACGGAAGACTGAACAGCCGCCTGGCGCATCATACATGTTCATGTTGGCATCAAGGCGGCCAGTCAGATCCCACGGGTCGTACTCCTGCCACTGCGGTGGTGTTAGTTGTGAGTGCTGCTAGAGTAACAAAGCTGGTCCTCTCCTACCTTGCCTTGGAAAATTTTGCGGTAGGTATGATTATAAGCGCGGTCCTCCCACCTCTCCACACCTCCACCGTCAACGTGAGGTGGAAGTCCAAAAAGCTTGTCGCCAGGGGGGCGAATTTGGACTCGGTCACAGTAACTGAGTGGAACTGATAAATCAACTAGATTAGATTAGCTAAGTTCGGTATTATTTCCCTTAGTTGCAGTGTTGGATTACTCTTTTGGTTGGCATCTGCAGTATATAACTGATTCATCCACGATTGTGTTGCAAGCATATTAGGATGTGACCTCGCTTTCACTTGGGAGGGACTCCAATATGATTCATAGATCACCTTGTTTAAAGTCAGCTTTGGATTAATCGGCATTGATAATTAACAGTCACCTTCTTGTCTGAAGTAGATGGGAATCCTCTGAAAGGTCGGGAAGTCAGATACTGGCGAACATCCGAAAGAAGCTTTTCAGTGACATCTTTGTCCACAACGCCACGAACAACAGCAACACCAGTTCGTCGAATGGCAGCAATGTCCGCCGGAGATACATTGCCAGCTCGAATGTCGGAAAAGTTCAGTTGAGGAATAATCTACTCCTGTCAGTATGTAACTAACGACAAACATGGAACCTGGAGTGAACGCACCTTCTCGCGCTTACTGGCGACTTCTTCAGTCCGTACTTTGAGGACCTCGACAAGCTCATCCCATGACTTCTGAATTTGGTCCTCAAACCCCGTAGTCAAGTTACGCTTTAGATCCCGAAATCGTTCGGGCAGAGGCGCACTTTTTCTGCCAGAGAAAGATGTGAACACGGAAGATATATCACCCTCCTTTTTATCTTTGCGAGTAATCGGCGATGTGTCAGTTGCCACGAGACGCTTGGCTGTTCCTGCACATTTCCCTGCGCGGAACGTAGGGCAATTCAGACATTTCGGAGACACCGTTTTGATCATGGTGGGATACGGGGTCTGCGGTGTTATGTGGTGAGTGTGGACAGCAAATCGAAAGATTGTACTTGGAGGATAAATAGACATGATAGTCTCTGCCTTGCAGATTTATACTTGTATCCATGCTTGGCAGCTCTTTCCCTGACCCCAGTCAGGGTCAATGCGCGTTTCCCAATTTGGCAAGATTCCGACAGTGGGGAAAGGCGGTTCTCCCTAATACGTCTTGCCGCCGCCCTTTTAGTAATAGCGTCCGACGGCCCCAGGCATTAGTATTGCGGAGATGCGAATGCGGAGATGCGGAGGAAAGACGGTTCAGTAACTCTAGAATGGTCTTCACTCGCAAGGCTTGGTTGGCGACGGAGGTGAAACTTTTAGTAGGGTAGAGTTCGCCTGAGTTGCCTTCCTCTTGTTTCCTTGTTTCCAGCAACTCCCCAATCAAACAAAGTCGTCTTCGGTCGGTCACTCGATCTTGGGTGCAATTTATCTTCTCATTAAAACCAGACTCAATTTTACCTGGCCGTGTATTCCAGAGTGTAGCTTTTGGTAGATGCATCATATTGAATCGAATGCAATATGTAAAGGAGGCTTTGGCTAGCTGTGCTCGGCCCTCGTAAATGGTGTTATGGGGCCCAAAATCAATTGCCCACTTCCAAATCATCTCGCCCAACCTTGGGCTGGTGGACCAATCTTACTTCTTGGGACTAGAAGCCATGTTCCGCATGAGTTGACGACTCCGAGCAAAAGCAAGACTTGTCCTGTTGTGTTGATCCACCCGCTCGTACACTGACTCCGGGAGAAAGGGTTGGTGGCGAACTGATGCAAAGAGGGTTCCGGCCGGTCTCACTGCTCCAGCCGTCGAATACGAGACATTCAAGCACTATATTCCAGACGGTGATTGTAGGATACTGGCTCACGAACAGTTCATTGCCGCTGGCAAACTCTCTGGTTACGTGAAAACTGTCTACTGTCCACTATTCTGAGGGCGCCAGATGGGAGACCGGGGGATTGAACGTAAACTTGGGGCAGATTTGAGATTATTGGTCTTCAAAGGGAAAATCTAAGCATAACCTGCAAGGCATTGTTGTAGAGAAATCGAGGTTGCCCCCGCCGATAACTGTATTATTCCATACTGCCCTCGTATGATACTCGTAGTTGTGAAGGGTGTGAAGTTCTCCTCGATTCGGAAATTAGTCCACTTCTCTGGACCCTTAACGAACTGTTCGCTAGTTAGTTGGTGCATATATTCATTCCCAACGCACCAGATCTGCTCCATTCAACGACGTAAACAGCCACTCTTTCGCATCCTTTCCCATTCGAAATCAAATCCCTCATACTGACTGCTTATGCTGACTCTCATTGGTCCGGAATGCTTATCAGCTCATGATCTGCCACCTCGCTCTAATACAACGAGTGATAATTGCAGGGGAAATCAGACGAGGTGGAGCTTTAGCTATACTTGGAAGAAGAAATGCGGTAATTTTGTCCGAATTTTTGAGTTTAATGCCGTAGTTGGTGGCTCGGTGAGCGCTTAGGCAAGAGATTATCAGAGTCCTGCTGTCGGGTAGATGCTTTTGGTCAGCCGGTGAACTGAAGGCATGCTAGTTCATCCAATCTCTGCAAATGAGCGAACCAGATATGAGTATTGACTCATGTCTAACAGTGACACTTGGTAAACAATCTTTAACTATAAAAGGATGGACTTTACCTATGGGCAGTATTGCATGATCTATCTGCTTCTGGTATGCTTATCACTAATCTACGAAAGATTTTACTGCGCGCCGCCTCACTGAAGGCCGCCTCTGTAACCTGCGTTCCATATTATACCTGGCATTTGCCTCATCTGATCCTCATGTCATTTCCAAAAAGCCCCGATTAGGAATTGAGGAGCATGTAACACATTGAACGCTTTTGAAAACATACGAGTGAGAAAATCCATTGAGAAGAAATATTTTTATTAAATGCTGACACTGAAGTATGTATACGACAAACCGTTGAAAGCCTCCACGAAGAAAGCTCAGAACCCAAGGACTTGGTTGGCTCGCTCCAGAACCAACTTTTGACCAAGCTTGATGCCAATCTCCTGTGTATCAAATGCAGCTAGCCCAAGGGAACGCAACGCATTCACAGACTGAGAGTGGCGAAGGCTGCCCTCGGTCGTGCGCCCAACAAAGTTGCTCTCGCCCTCACCGCCAGGGAAATCAGGAGGAGGGGTACCGGCGATGAACTCCTCGCGTTGGCGCTGAACGTAGGCTGCGCTCCGTTACAGGACAAGCCGGAATATACATGACGCTAGAGTCGCCTTGTCCCTGATGCACTTTGTCGACGGCATGAATACCATCACTGTGCCAGGCAACATAGTCACCCGGGGCAATTTGGGGGATGTGGACCATGGTTTGGTGGAGTCGCAAGTGTGGGTGCAAAACATCGGTCAGTTCTTGGGAATAACCCGGGGTAGCGCCCTCCAGCTTGCTTGATGTCTCTGTCTCGAGTCGCCAGTTGGTGGGATCTAGATAGGTGTCTAGAGCAAGGCGCGAGCTGCCAGCAGGAGGCGAATATATGGGCTCAAAGAACGGCCGCAGAAGGAAGTAAGAAGTGGCCATAGAAAGTAGGGGGTTCACCAACAGGGTCCCCTCTTTGGGGCCAGTGTGCGACATGCTCAGCCAGCCCTGAAACATGCGGAACATGGAACACGCTCCAGCACCGTTGTAAAGGTCAGAGACAGCTGGAATACGGCAACTTGCCTCCCAAGGGTCATAATCTTCCCATCTACCCTCCCAGATCGCCTTATAAACGTTTCCCAAACCATAGCCATTATCTTCCCAACGCTCAACACTACCACCATCCACATGAGGACCCAATGCAAATCCAGCATCGCCAGGCTGGCGAATACGCAGGCGATCGGCGTATGTAAGAGGATGTGATGGAGACACCAGAGCGTCAGAGTTCTTCGAATGCCAGAAACTCATGAGGAACCGCTGGGTTTCGAGCATGTTGGGGTGCATGCGAGCCTTCATCTGGGACTGTGACCAGTAAAGCTCAAACACCTGCGGATCGGTGGGTGGGAAAGCTGCACGGCATTAGCAAAGAGTGTCCGTGAGCACGATGGCATTGATTGACTCGCCTCTAGTCTGCGGGTTCGCGCGCACATATTCCTCAATTTCCTCCTTATAGCGTCTAGCTTCAGCTTCGGGAATTACTCCTCGAACAACGGCAACACCACGTTTCCTAAGTTCTCTTCGAAAGTCCTTGGAAGCTGTTTTGATGTCCTTGAAATCGATGGTAGGAACAACGTCCGATCCCATTCGTTCGATAGTCCGTACCTCCTCGCGGAGCCTGTGCAGCAGGCGATCCCAGCTCTTCTTGACAGCTTCTTCACGGCCTGCAATAAGGCGTTTCTTTTGGTCGGCAAACCTTGGGGGCAATGCCTTCTCCTTCGCGCCAGAGAGAGACACAAAGACAGAGGAGATGTCGCCCTCTTTACGAGGTGCTTGGGACGTTGTTGCTAGACCTCTACCGGAGAATGAGACCGGGGCTTTCAGGGAACACCGCAGACCATGCGGACTTTGCCATGTGACTTTGACCATGGTGTTATGCTTGGATCGGACAAGAATTTAAAAGATTGTTCAACTCAAAGCGATAAATTGATGAGTGACGCAGCCTGCATAGGAAGTATTGAATTGAATTGAGTGGGAGGTGACTATTTATATGATGCATTTTATTCCAGTCTTCTGAATTTTCCATTATTTCTACGGCTTCTCCAAGTCTAGAAACAACGCGAAACCTTCAACGTCACGACGGACCTGCCGGGAGCGGTACTATTTCCCTTTTGGGAGAAATCCCGCCCGCCATCCACAGAGCCGGAAAAGTCGAGTAGCCGGAGTTGTGTGCCGTGACAATGCATGTGTGGGGATACCTGATGCCTGGTTGGATTCCTGGCCCTGGCACGCCTCTTCTTTCCTAATGCTGAAGTTGCCTCGTCGAATGCCACTATATTAGTTGACCACCTGTCTCTCCGAATTAAGTATAACATGTGCTATGGCGAGACCCAATAACGTATACAGTACATGTCGATGCGCCAACCACTAGACCAAAAAGGATATCTCGCGTCTACATGATTAGCAGACGGAGATGTATGTACGAACAATGCATAGGACGTGGGTCAACATAAGCCTTCATGCTAGGCTATGATACAGCGATGTTGAAACCAATCAATTACTAAGACACAGTAAATGAGGATTATACCTTCTCAATTCTACAGCCATATTGTTGCGTGAGAAATTGACAATTTGGAAGACTACCAGTGTAATCAACAAAGGTGTCAAGATTGGAAATTGAAAAGAGGAGAAAACCGTTTCGTAGGCGATGTTGGGTTGCCTTCTGTTATCATCCCTACCCGGCCCTGTTTGTTCAAATCATCAAATTAGTCCTCCCGGATACGTTCCGATCATCACACTCTATTGGGCTCTGATAAAGAGCCTTTCTTTTGGCCCTAACTGGGAAGTTGAATAAACGTAAAAATATTCAAGAGAAGCAGTGGCAGAAGCGCTAAAGGTCGGCTGAAGGGCACGGATAGCGTGATATAGGTACTAGGTACAGTGGACAGAAACGATCTGCTAACCAGGAAGAGTACTAGGATCTACTTTACTGGCTTATGTGAGTTTAGTGTCATTCTTTCCTCAGATTTCGTGATTGCATAAACTAGGCGTCTTATCTTGTCAGGGATTAGTTAACAGGGAAGCTTGCCATTCAAAAGAACAGTCTGGTAGTGTTTTGGTTAGTGTAATCCACTGGGGGCGGGACATCACATATACAATTCCATTATGGTTCCCGCAGTTTGTATAGGACCGATTTCTTAGCATAGCATTGGTAGTGGCCAGAATGCTGACTACTGTGAAGAATCCCTCCTCTCAAGGATATGAGGGTTTGGCCAAATTCGTTATATGTCTGACTTGCTTACCCACCATGATAATATCAGAGACTCACTAGGTACACTTTGAGCATCCTCACTAGTAAAGTAGCGGGATCCTGAATGCAAAGGTTACGGTCGGGACGGTAAATCAAAGTATGTATAGGTACACACAGTAAAATGAGAAGTCGTGGGACGAATTATCTATTTCTAAAAGCCCAGGTACAGAGGAGTAAGCGATAGGGATAATTAGATATAGAAAGAGTCTAAATTTCATGTTCAGACAACCAGAAATGAAGCAGGCTCAACTACCTCACCAATAGCCCCATCGAAATACCCACAGAAATCGAACTCTGCTACGTTTATATTATGCATGTCGAATGACGGAAACTCCAGTGCAGCAGGTGTATTCGGCATGCCTGATAATGTACCTTTTGTAGAGAATCTAACTTGATCATGACTATCCTTCCCCTGATCCGCAAGGGACAGGATCTCCCTCGCAACAATCCCCATTTCTCGATAAATTCTCTTTCCCTGCCCCCAATGTTCACTCAGCCTCTTTAAAGTACCCATACTGAGACGGATTCTCTCACGACCAAGCTGGAGGTCCGGCCCGGCAAATACGTACCGACAGGCGGCTAAATGGGCAATGGTGGCGTTGGCAATCATGCAGATGATGAATGGGGTATGAGCGTGGATATTAGCGGGGAGTATCATGAGCCGCCCGAGTTGTTCTATCGCGTGCAAACATTTGAGTGTGTGGAGCTGGATTTGAGTGGTGTCTGATCCTGGGGCGTCTTCAGCTGGTACCGGGGGTGCGCATTTGCAGGTCGACTCGACGGAACTGTACGCCAAGGTTGATAATGGACGATGTATCTCTATAGCGTATGCGTGGAGGATGAACTTGGCTTTGAACATGATTTCATCGACGGTGCCGTCGCTGCGTAGCGGGTCTCGCTTGCAGGGTGGAAGTAGCGAGTGCCAGGCCGCGACGCTGATGTCGGCATTCTCGCAAATTGTGTGGACCAGGGCGGCGTTTTTGGACCAGTCGGATGCTAAGGCTTTGTCTATTGAACGGGTTAAGCCAATGAGCTCTGCGTAAGAGGAGAAGCTGGGTCGGTCTGCTTCTGGGAGAAATTCCCGGATGTCGTATACTTCGAGCGTTGTCGGAGGGCAAATTACCCCAGCTTCATAGTCTTCCTCTTCGCATGGAAGATCGACACTCATGTCTATATTGCTCGTGCGAAATGGGTAGACATGGGTGCTACCAGCCATGTGGGCATCCGTGATGTATACAAGCCACCAGGTGCGACGCCAGCTTTCTTCCAGCATCGGGTCATTCTGGCCAAAATTTGTAGCATAATCTTTCTTGTTCATTTGTATATCCAACGCCATTTGAATGGCTTCTTTGAGTAAATTAACACCCCGGTCTATTTCATCGCACCAGTACACTGCAATCGAGTAGAGGATCATGGCCTGCACGTCGAACCCGGTCGCAGCGGCTTGTTTGCTGCGTATAGGAGCTAATTGTGACTCGGAGATTGTCGCCAGTGGCGACGCATCAACGTCATCTGCATAGTGTGCCCCGATATACTGCATCACATAAAGGAGCGGTTGTATTGTCTCGCGCTCTGTCTCGAGGCGCTGGCTGAGGAACCGCCATGGTAAAACGCATGGATGCGCGGGATGGAAAAAAGTATAGTAAAGGTTATACAGCCGATCTGTTCTTAAGGCATCATTTTCGGCCGTTGCAGAGGGTGTAGGATGTGTCGTTAAGCCACTTGTTGTGCTCCTGGCCTGTGCCTGAACTGCTGGCACCATGACAGACTCCGGTGACGATGACGGGACCCACAATTGATCGGCAGGGAGACCCGGAGTCAGAAGTGCAGACGATGCTGTTGAATACCCACCGGATCCCAATCCTGATGCTGACTCTGACGGCTTGCGACGGCGTCCGCCTCGACGCGACTTCTCATAGACGCATTGCTTATTGTCAGCGATGCAGCGGGCACATACGGGGGTTCTCGCGTCGCAGCGGAGGTGTTTTTTGCGACAGGGCGCACATGCCAGGCCGACGCGACGGGCTGGTTTGGACTGGTGGAATGAGCCCGCCAGGTCGAGTTCGAGCACGTTCATGTTGTTGTAGGAAGTGTATGTGTGTGTCTTATGTTCGAAGACAGTGAGAATGAAGACGGAGCCAAAGAGGGGAGGAATTCGATTGAGGAGTGTCAGGCTGCTGACGTCAGCCTCCCAACAGCATCGCGCCAATCAACATTCCCATTTGAAATTATCCATTGACTGCTATGGAGTAACTATTTACTGTGCGCTCTCTTTCTCTGCTTTTTCAACATCCAGTACAAAGATATTATGCACCCCATCCCTGATCACTTCATCGTCCACTATCAACACGGCGAAAAACCGCGCCGTCTCTGACCCACCCCCAGCGTTCTCAGACCGAACATGGTGACATCCGGGAGCCTCGTACCAGATATCCCCTGCCTTGGAAACAATCGGCTCCTCGCAATTCATTTGGTTGAGGACGGTTCCTGAGGCCACCATGGCCACCACTGCAGCGCCTCCGTGGGTGTGTGAGGGTGTTGCGCCGTTGGGATCCATGTCGATCACTCCGACGACCATGGATTTGCCGGGGATGTTGGGCGGGTGGAAGACATTGAGAACTCGGAAGTTCTCACGGGGTCGACTGATCATGTTAGTTGACTCTCTTCTTCTGACTCTGTTGCGGTAGGCATAGTACCCTTCAATCTGCCAGATGTCGCCGGACTTGATCAATTTCGCGGTGGGGGTAGACATTTTTTGAGGTATAGACTTTGCTGAAAGACGTCTAGAATAAGCTGGATTTGATTCCTCTGGAAGGTTTGTAATTATTGATATTGATCGAGATGATTGATAAACACTGAAATTGGTGCCATTATATAATTCCCATTTTCGAATCATCTCGTACACCAAATAACATGCCCCCCCTGTTGATAGCCCGATAGCCTATTCGGATGTTGCCTGACACGATCCGGATCTGCAGGGCGGTATTTGTTTGGTTACTACTCCATTCAGCCATCTGATATGGAAGAGTCTAAAAATGTGTATATTGGTGGTTGTGGGCTGTTCCTGGTGTGTGGTGACATCATCCCAATAGGCTATCCGGGACTGTCCCAAAAGGGTAATATCCGAAATACCCGACTCACATACAGCACATCAATCCAGCATATATATCGGCTTGCCTTTGAAAAGACCCACTCATAGCTCCAATTCATCAGTTTGACAATAATTCAACTTCACGTTCAATAAGTATGACACCCACAACAATGCGTCAACTCCTCCAGCCTTCCGCCGAAGTCGCCACAAGTGGACTAATCCTCACCACAAGTCCACTTCCCACCCCAGATACAACAAAAGGCGAACACCTCATCCGCGTGCATGCTTGCTCCCCCTGCTCCGGGGAATTATTATGGCCGAAGAACTTCCCTCCACCGAACTCCCGAGCACTCGTCCCCTGCCCGGATATGGCTGGGACTGTCATCTCTGCACCACCAGACTCCCCGTATCAACCGGGAGACGAGGTCTACGCCCGCACCAATTACGTCCGTCCCGCTAATGCTCGGGACTACACCATAGCAGTGACCGATGAATTGGCCCGGAAGCCCAAGACCTTGAGTTGGGTGGAAGCGGCCGCCGTCCCTGTTTCCGCCCAGACGGCGTGGCAGATTCTCTTCGTCCATGCGGGTGTCGTCCCGACTACTACCCCGGATGGGGGTGATGTAAGCTTTGAAGCCGCCAAAGAGGCGTGGGCGGGCAAGCGGATCCTTGTCACCGCTGCATCAGGCGGTGTGGGGATCTGGGTCGTCCAGCTAGCGAGACTTCTCGGGATTGAAGTGGTCGGCACCTGTGGGAGCGAAGAGAACGCCGCGCTAGTCAAGTCCCTAGGCGCAAGCGAGGTACTAAACTACCGGACAACGGACTTTCGATCATGGGGAGCGGAATTAGACGGTCGTCGCAAGGTCGACATCGTGGTCGATTGTATTGGTCGGCAGGCGTTGCAGGACGCATGGTGGACGGTGAAGGAGGACGGCACCGTACTGAGCATTTTTGCGCCGCCTGGAAGTACTCGTCCGCGAGGATGTCAGGTCAACGCAAATGATGTGTTCTTTATCATGGCGCCTAGTTCGCGGCAGTTGGAGGCGATTACTCGGCTGATTGAGGATGGAAAATGTCGTCCGTTGGTGGATAGTGTGTGGCCGTTGGAGCAATTCCTTTCGGCATTTAGTAGGTTGGATGAGGGTCATACGAGGGGAAAGATAGTGTTTGATATCAGGCTGAATCAGTAGAGTTTCTCTACTGTCGTTGAACATGCGCTTTTAAATGCGCTCTCTTCTCCTTATCGTTTAATGGCATCTTCTATTAGTGAGTTGGTACTAGCGAATGCAGCGCAATCACTCAATGAACCAGATGGGACAACCATCACATAAACATTACCAAGCTAGCCCATTTAAAACGGCCTAGCAGTTTCTGTGGGAATTCTAAATACCAAGCCATGTTATGATGTCAATGCGCCGGCGCTATGTAAGTTGTAAGTGGAACTTTTCTATTTCTGATGAAGAGTCGAGTCTCAGCACAAGTTCTGAGATTCGATATTCAAGGCGTAACATAAACAGCGAGATTAAGCAAGAGGGATAAAATGAGAGTTGATTGTCTGTAGAAATTGAAAACACAGCCGCCGACAGCTCTGTCCCGCCACACCATATACGGCCTCGATAGAACCGCCAGAGCCCGGATCCGATCATCACGTCACCCGATAAAAAGCTTAGCTTTGGTATCTTTTGACTACTAAGGCACTTATCTCTTAAGAAGATATCGTGACACTGGCACTGCCAGCACCGTTCCATGCCTCCACCGCCATGACCTGATAATTGAAGTTGCTATTGCCGAACCCATGCTGCGCCCAGAAATTGAAATGGTTGGCGACAGTCACTGTTCCGGATGTGCGTGTACTTTCACGAACGGAGAAGTACTGCGTGAACGTGCTTGTTCCTGTGATAGATGGCGCGTTCGTCCGAGTGTCGGTGCAGACTTGGTAGGTGCTTCCATCAGAGTACACGGTACCAAGGCTTGTGGCCGAGCTGCAAGGGTTGTAATCGCCGTAATCCTCGACGATGTAGTATTCGGCCTGAGGAGAGTTGACCCAGCCGTAGACAGCCAGGTAGGAGCTGGAGCTAGAAGCGCTGTATTGGGCAGAGTAGGTGATAGATCTGACAAACGTTAGATCCTAGAGATTTAGCCTAAAGGGTACAGTCACCCACTTAGAGGAGCCAGTGGTCCAGCCCAGACCAACGACGAAGTCAGAACTGACTCCATCCTCCCAGTACATGGAAAATGTCCCGGCACTCTCGTCGTAGGTGAAGTCACCAAGGTTGCCGTTGTAGTTTTGCACGTAGTTGATACCGGCACTTCGCGACACCAGAACAGGCTCCGGAGCAGGGGCCGCGAAGGCCGTAAGCAAGAGACTTGCAAAAGCTGCAGTGACCTTCATGATAATTGAAGAGAGCTGAATGTTGGTGAATGGATATGTGTAACTATAAGAAAAGCCTGCGCTGGTTAATGTTGCTGCGAGCCTTCTCTATCTCTATTTATATATTACGAAATAACCATTTATCCCTTTCCCCTGCACAATGAAGCGGTTCGGTTAAGTCCATTTTCCCGCATGACCTTTGATAATTAAACAAGCTCGAGCCTATTTCCAAAGACAGCTCTATAGTTATGGGTTCAGGTGCAGCCACCAATCTGGGCACGGCACTTGGCTAAACAACTGCACTTGGCTAAATGGACTAGATTCGGCTAAATAGACTGCACTTGGCTAAATAGACAGCGATTGGATAACTGGAGGCGGGAAGTGGGGATTCTTCACCAGTTCCCCGCAGAAGTTTTACTGGCTTGAAAATCATGTTTAGAATCATATACCGCCTGATCTACTAAATTAATATAGTTTCTTATTTATATAATATATATCTTTACTAAAGCATTATATTTCTTTTCTTCTTGTAGCAAGCCTAGGGCTGAGTTAAAGCTGTAAGAAATACTGACCACAGGTCGCGAAGATACTTTGGAACTCAGAGCATACTCTATAAAGGATAATCATGGTAATGGTAATTACCCCAAGCACGCTGAATCTGTATAATTATAATATATAAAATAAAGCCAGATCTCCAGATTAGAAATTTACTTTCTCTCAGTTTCTATCTAATTTTCTCAGTTTTATATAACTAGTTAAAATCTATTAAGTGAAATAATGGTAATACTAACCAGCATAAAGAGACTGGATCAAACTAGATCTGGAATATGATATGTTGGCTAGAAAACTGGAACTACGACTTATCAAATTATTAATCAAAATATTAAAAAGAATCATCATCGAAAATATCAAACTCAGCTGAATTCCTAGGATAATTTAAATATTCATTATTTATCAAAATCATATTCTATTTATCAATTTCTATAATTCTTAAATCTAAAAACCCTAATAAATCACCACTCTTTAGAATTCGCTTCATACGTTCAACCTGGCTAGAACGGACTATCCCAGTCAATTTGTAGGCCTTTCGTGAGCGATTCTCGCGAGCGTATCGAATCTCTTGTAGGTAATTCGAATTTCTGATATTCTGTTGCAGCTCCTCAATAAGATAGGCGAATTCGGTCGCAGCTTTTGCTATCTTTCTAAGCAGGCGACGAGAGGGCGATTGTTGCATGCGATTGATCTTATCCTCTAGACACTCTTCTAATCGCTTCACACGATCGGCAGTCTTTGGTGTACTAAGATCTGGTGGATCCTGGCCACTAGTAATTGATGACAGCGGGCTTGGTGTATTGAAGCCGAAATCTTCCTCAACCGAAGCGACTAGGTCCTCGAGAACTGTATTCGGATTGATTGGCCATAAACCTGTCAATCTAAAGCCAAGCTTAATTGTAGAAGATTTAAAGATTTCCTGCCGAATCTGCACGATTGCACCAAGGAATTCATCCTTAGTAATCCTCTCATAACCGCTGATAGTCGCATCATACACCTATTCACTATGCGAGTGCTTACATGCACTAAATACACCAACATCTAGTGGTTGAAGGATATGACTCGAGTGAAGTAGTAGGAAGAAGAGGATAATCCTATTATCCTTATAGTATTTAACGAATTCGTATGTAAGATACGAGCCGAATTAGTCACATACTAGTAGACGATGCGTCCCCTTGACCGGATCCTTGGTAAGCTTATTGAATAGCTGTATCTACTATAGAACAAGAACGTTATTAAAACCGGTCTCATCGAAGTTCCATATATCGTCTACAGTAATTCCGTATTGGACAATCGTCTCCTGGTAGGAATTAAACAACTCTCCTGCAACCTGCCTATCTAGGCACTTCTTTCTCTCTATATCTATAGCCCGATGGCGGCGAGAGAGATACTCAGGATAGCGTTGGAGGAAGCGTCTTAGCCAGTGGTCGCCGATTATAGATGGTTTAGTTGGACCATCATGGTTACTAGGCAGAATTGCATTGGCAGCAGCCACGATAACCGGTCGCTTAGGAGGAAAGAAGATAGAATCGAGGAAATCGATATACCGGCAAAGGACAGATTCTTGCGATTCATCCAATTTGCGACGGTTAGATAAACATTAAGATAGTGATGGGCGACCTTTGTAATACGCAAGAAGCACTGATACGGTAGGTTCTAAGCACACGCCCATGCCTTGATATTAGGCTTTTCAATGTTCTCTAAATCATAAAAGAAGATTATTATATCCAATTATACGCTATCTGAGTCATATTTAATTCTTTATCTTGTTTTCAACATCCTAAGTTTCCTGGATTGTCGCCTGTCCAAGCAGTGAATAAAAATCTCTAATCATCCTCTAATGGCTCCCGGCAAGATGTTAGATGAGCAACACTACATCGAAGACTTATGATATTAGGAAATGCCGTCCTCGATTAAAAATAGCAATCAAGGCGCTCAGCATAGTTTTAATCAGTTTCGCAAGGTTCGATAAAGCCTCTCTTTGCATGCTCATGAGATAAGTGCAATACATATTGCTCTTGCTGAGCAGCCTCATGAATGAGAGGTTCAAACGGCATTATTGGCTTAGTAGCTTTCACCAAAACTCTCCAGGAGCTGTAATTCTCTGGATCAATATTATCATGGGTTCATTCCCACTGGATGCGAACGTTTGTAGACCCACCAGGTTCTGAAACAAATATTTAATTCAGCGTACCAGTGACTCTTGAATAGTCTAACCACAGGTTATTGACAGGACCGCGAATACCGTGTATGAGACTCCAGCTTTCTAAGAAATAAATCTGACCAGCAAAAATACTTAGAAAATCTTCTTCACACACGGGGACGATAGAACAGACGAGCAAAGAGCTATTGTACTTGGGTAAGGAGAAGATAAACACAGATTTATCTTTACTAGATTCTGTTACTAATTAGTTATTGTAGGATGCGTAAACCAGATCAGGGGAGAATATTTATGTATTAATTTCCTTGAAGCTTTGTTCCTCATTAGTAAAGATCTATTGATTTCTAGCGCAGTTCCAACTGGACTCCTGAACTTTCAAGCTCTCGGACACTTGCAGATTATTAAAATCAGATATGTGTACCAGGTCACCTTTCCCGAGCCTGAGAATCCGTGTTTCTAGCTGTTTAATATAATGTCCATATTGAGCTTTCCTCTTCTTGATTATATCCACAAGAGATATTTTCAAAGTTTTGGGATATCCTTTGCAGTAGCTGTCAGATTCCTTAGTGCGGTAATATAGTGCTTTTTCAATACCAGCTTCACGCATCTTGAGAAGATTCCTCCAAAAAATCCGGTACTGCCGTTGGTTTTCTGCATCTAATCTATATCCAGCATCTTCTATAAATCTCTTGATTGCAGCTTTCTCCGCTATAGTAAAGCCGTCAGTAGGTCTTTTTGCAGACGGCAAGCTAGAATAATCAATTAAACTACATCCTTGAGAATAATTTTCTAGAATATTATTTCATAATACTGATTCTGCACACCCTTATCCATAGCCAAAGCGTGGTCCATGTAAATGGCGCTGATTGCTTGTTCGTAATTATACCCCGCAACCTCATCAGCATACTTCCGTCTTTTATCAGGATCGGTCCTTACTGGGGCCATGGTGATTCAATGGCCGTATCTAGCAATCGCTGAATTGACATTAGAACACTCAAACAGAATCGAAGCCATTGCTTTCGTTGTATACGCAGAATCCGGATAATAGAATGAGAAAGTATCAACCAGAAGTTTTGAGGGGTAGATTTCGTTCCCATGGTCATTATCAGGCAAGAGCTAGATTTGAGAAAAATACAGATTAGATCAAACAAATAGATCAATCAATTGAGGGCAAAGCAATTCCATACCGGTTAATCAATGATCCAAGAGCCTTTCTCCATAATTCCCCCAGTAATACGACCGGGCGGTGGTTCATTACCACAATTATTTGGACACTGCCGGGTCTGCTTCTTTTTTTGCTTCCTTGATTCCGCGCCCGCTAGATTTGCATACACCCTTTTCTGGGCATTTGAAATCCTGTTGGATTCACGCCCTTTAGCTGGTAAAGCTGGGGGCGTTTGTAGGATCAAGCCGCTGGTTCTTAGTAGGGTGTCGCCTTTATAATCGTCTTGATTTACAAGATGGGCCTGGAGGACTAAGTTCACCATAAGCACCCGAACCAATGGCTAGGATAGCTGTCTCATATACCATCATTATCAACTTAAGATATCAAGGAATCAATATAATCTTCATTATAATCTATATCAGAGAACATAAGTACATCCCGGATAGCCTGAGCTAAGCGCCTGCGGATTCTTTTGTCCATAACCCTTAGAGAAAGCGGTGCGATCCACGACGTGCCCACCTCCTACATCTTAAATATAGCCTTCTCCGCTCTGGGACATTCAAGCAGCCTGATCAACAAACCAAGTCCATCTTTATGGAGCTTCCTTTCATCTTTTAACCAATAATATACCTGGAACGTCCCTTTATCCCAGGTTAGCACTGATAGGGTGGATCTAGACTGTCTTGGCTGGATCTTGAGACTACAGCAACATAGCCTCAGCAGCTTGGATGAGTGCACTGTAGACAGCTAGACAAGGAGAAAATGGTACAGGTTGGGTTTTGATCAATGACTCACCTCCGGGAGCTGGTTCCAGTCCCCCTTTGAACCTGCATCCTGTGTATCCCACTTAAGACCAGCATCATTCCTTCCACCTTCACCAAACAGCCGATCCACTTGACAGGTCTTCAAGAGCTAGGATCATCAAAAGAGTGACTGGGAGCTCAAGGCCTCCTGAGACCCTATATATACCCATGACAAAAGACGGCGCTGACACACTTAGACAAATTATTAATTCCTCACTACAGAGCTGAATTCATATTCGAGGACTAGTCGTATAGCCGAGGAGCCTTGATTTAACTACCAGAGCTTAGACAGATACATACAGCCTTCCGACAGGAATTTTCTAACCAATACCTCCTTTCTCAGCGAGGAGAACAGCCTTATTTTGCCAATTATGTCTAGCTTCTACCCTCCATTCTCTAAACAGTAGCACCGATGATATAAAAGAGACCATCCCAAAGTATTTTCGACTGCTACTGACGGAAGAATCATTGATAATTTTAAGCTTCTAAGTTTGAACCTCTGAGATAAACTGCAGATAGTATGTCGTAGTGTGAACTGCAGATATAATACGTCCCGTGCGGGTTGTGTAAAGATTCATGTAAATTACCATCCTGTGTATTTTTCGGAAACCTTGGCGTTTCCGCAAAAACGCCTGTGGACCCTGTGAGACCTGCGTTTGTCGCGTATTCCAAGGTTGTACTAGGGCCAATAGCTTGAAAACCATGCATGGGTAATAAAGACCGGTCGCATCCGCATATATTCCACGCTTTGGTTTCATAGGATCAACCTCGGAAATCCAGCCGTGGACGTGTACAACGACCTTGGAGACGTTGGCAAAGCTATCCCTTTCTGCCCACCATGGCCAAAACACTAGAAGAGTTTGCTCAATTAGAGCCTCTCTGGGACAAAGCAATCCAGCATCCAGCGGAAATTTCACCTGATGAAAAACACCAGCTGATGCAATGGCCGCCTTTAGAAGAGATGCAGGCCAACTCAGCCAAATACTTGGGTATGTCACTTGAAAACTTGCTTCAAAAGGCAGCTACAGACCGTCAATCCCTCACATACGCGGAATGTCGTCTGATTCGCGATCATTTCCGCATTACGCCAACTCTTGACAAGGGTGATCGATTCGCGTGGCCGCAGATGCGTCCTGATCTTTACGATAAGCTGAAACAGGCACAAGAAGCAGCTCTTTCACCAATAGAGCTTCAGGCCGTTCAAGCTGTGAATGAGGTATTTCCTCAGAAACAGTATGATGACTTGGAGGCAAGGCATGAAAAGCGAAAACAACAACCATTCCCAGATCTGCAAGACTGGGTGCGAAGGATCGTCGTTCGAGAAGATGATAAGAGCTGGGGCTATGTCTTTTATCATCAGAAAGAAATGGCCAGACTGGATGAGTTTAGGGCGCTATTTGCCGAGGTCCTTGAGATGTCTTTCGGTTTCCAGGGATATGAAGAGATACACGATCACAAATTCGCTCAATTTGTCCCATTTGAGGCCGATGAGAGTAACATCAGCCATTTACAGCAGTGAGTTTTCCTACATAATATTAAAGACATTTCTAACAATCAGCCAGAGACTTTCGTGATCGCCGCGAGAGGGGTGACTTAAAGCCCGGTGTTCTCAAAAATGTGTTCTTCTTGTTGACAGACGAGGCTCGTTCAGCATGTGGCACATATGGCCCAGATATGTACTATGGATGGATATGGGCAATTGATCCGGACTGGCCTCTGTCGGGGCCAGATGAGGATGGCTATGATGGCCGCCTCAAAATCAGTATCACCCAGATCTTTTACCGTTTCTACGAATTCATGTCTGATGGTTTCTCGCTCAAAGAAATTTGGCAGGATTTTCATTACGTCAATGCTAACAAATTGTACCCAAGCTCTTGGCGGGAGCCAACTTCCTGGGCCATTACCCGACTTGAGAAATCCAAATGGCCATACATTTGATTTGATGCATGTTTGTCCTTGATGATTGTTATGTACATAGTACTAGATAGTGAGCATCATATGAACATTAAAAATGTGTAATCATCCGTACAAAATGTATTCTTCCTTCCGCCCATCTTTTCTAGTCATATCATTGGAAAATACTCGACTTCCCTCCTTTTTGTCAGCTAAAAGCCAACTTGAAGCAATTAGCTACCTGATGCCAGCATATAAACAAAGATTGAATCGTCAAAAATCACTCTTAGTCGAACCAACTCTCTGAGCTCCATCAGATCACCCGTGTAGTTTGTTGCGAGCTGATATGCGTGCGATCCAGGGGTAGCTGCATTTTGCACCGCTCGCCATGTGACAAGTAGCTCATCAATACGCGAATTAAGCCAATTGGACGCCCACCGAGCCATTCGTGACATGAAATTTGTCATGAAAGTTCTGAACAGATTAGGCGCACTGAAGTCTCTTTGCCCGAACACACTGTTGACTGCTTTTTGGAACACACGCAATTCGTAATTAGCCGCGCCATATGTGTCAACAAGGTGACGGTTAACAAGCTGTTGGTTCAAGTACTCGAACACAGATATAACCTGAATTTAACGAATGAAGTTAGCACATAAATAAATGATTGAAGGAGATTTCGCGTACCATTCGTATTTCATTGATCCCAGCCCTTCCAGCTCTCTCATCTGCCACGTTTAGATTCCTCCAAGTATCATCACCAATCGGCTGCTTCCCCGCGAACAGCTATAATCAACCATTTAGCGATTTTTCTTTACTACATCAAAATTGCAAAGAGAAGGCTTATCATAGTAACATACCCTTCCTTTCATTAGGGTTTTAGGGTTTAGGGTTTTAGGGTTTTAGGGTTTTAGGGTTTT